TATATAAAAGATGAGCTGAGTGCCTCATGTTGAGCACCTAGAGTGCATAAAACCTGGAACAGACTGGAGTTGAACCCAAAGTGGAACATAAAGATTTTATATGTCACACGTATACGAAAACTGAAACTTTATGACATCACTCATGCAAACCTTTAACTCACCCCAGTAGTGCCAAGAAGGACATGTGGTCCCAATTATCTCTTAGGTAATACAAAGAAGTTGCAGCAGCTGGTGAAGTCATACCCACGAGTGCGCGCGCACACACACACATACACACATACACATACATATAGCTTATTGCTCGTACACCTAACATCATTATAGGCCTGTTTTACCATTTGGCTCAGTTTCCTAGCTTGCTATTTGCTCAGCGTTAGCACTAAAACACTTGCGCAGACATACACAGGATGCAGCCAATTGCTGAGTGACCCCTAATGCATGTTACATAAGAGCTGAGAGCTGAGGTCCAATTAATTCCACACCCTACATATGGATTCAAGTAGTTGTACGGGCCAATATATCGTATAGGGGCCACTGAGACTGAGGGGGCGCTTTGGCTTTTACGGCGCAGTCATTTTTTCACTCTGTCTTGATTTCTCACTCTTCTCCAGAGCCTTTGTCTCTTTTCTCTCTCAGTTATTCAGTTGACTACTCACTGACTCACACCCTGTATCTCCCTTATTCTCCCTCTCGCTCTGTCAATGTCTCTTTCATACAGACGCACACAAACAGCTGTCTGTGCTCCCTGCACCACACCAGTGAAGTATAATGTTACTGCAGTGCAATAATGAATCTCTACCGTACACTGTTGCCTCAGGACTGACACAGGTTGTCAAAAACAGTGTTTTTTCTATCCACAGTTACGAAACCAACATTTAAAGGTTTGTTCTATTCTAACTCAATCTTTAAATGGTTGGGGAAATGGTTCAAATAACCAATGAGTATTGTTCTTTTGTGGCTGTTTAACAAATGAGTTGCTTCCTATACTTCCTGTGACTGTCTGCAGAGATATCATGTGATGTACCATGGCTGTTGCCGTCGGTTGCAGCGTCACAAGATTTATACACGGTGTTTGTATGATCACACTGGTTTCTAATTTCCTGTAATAGAGCTTTTAGTCACCTGAATATTTATTCACTGTAAACCCTGTGCACAGTCCTGTAAGGTATCACCTTATAATGTTCAGTGTGGTGGATGACATGACATTACAGAAATAGGACATGAGACGTGCTGTACAACAGCAACATAAAACAGAACTCAATAGATGTAATAAGAGAAGGAATTCATGAAACAAGGCTAAAATGTGGGCCTTGCATGTTTCCTGGATCACTAGTCTGATGCAAGACTACTTAGTCTTTGCACCTGGAACCCAAAGTACAGTACTGTTTTTAAAAGGTAAATTCATGCTGTTAATCATCAGTATTGTGATTATAGTGATTATAGTGATGATCCACTTGTAATGTCAATGATGATCCTTGCTTTCAGCTCTCTTCTTCATTTGGTTCGCAGTTCATAGACTATAGTCAAAAGCAGGCTGTGGATGAGGAAGGTCTGTGGGGAAGAAAGAGGGGCTGTGTTTATCTGTTCTCTTTCCGACCCAATTGTCTGTCCACTGTCTCCCTGCTGTAAAACATTTCTATTTACAAAATGCAGTACAGGTCATGGCAGTGTTTAATTTGAGCCGAGGTTTCTATTCTGAGAAATAACACGAGCCATTACTAAACAACATTCTAACCTAGTTATACATTCTGACACTTGACTGCTCAAGATTACTTGTGGTGCAAGTCTCTTCCTGCACTGTTAAATATCCAGGTTGTATGGACTCATGCATCAGCTCTGACAGAGATGCACAGAAGTAGAGCAGGTTCACCCGGCCAAGAATTTAATGAGTCTGCTGTTAAAAGAACAAGGAGGACAAGGTGCAGTAACGAACACCAAGAAGAGGAAAAACAGTTTGAATCGGTGAATGCTGTCTCCACATGTGGAGACATGCCTCTTTAAGTTTCTAAGCTGGTCCTCTTTCATTTACACTCCACAGTGGATACCACACCTGCCTCTTGTCTTCCTACAGTACACCTGCTGATTAAACATGGAGCACTCCCTGTCCTGGATTAGTGACTACATGGGCATACATATCAGTTTCCTACCATTCTGAAGAGAGACATTGTACAAAGTTACGATGCAGTATTTCATGCACAAGATGTAGATTATGTGGCACCAAAGACACAAATTGTAATTTTTGTAATCAGTCCAAATTCATTCCCTTAATTTTGTGGTATAACAACTGAAATTTGCCACAATGCACCAGATAATAACATGCACATACAACCTCATATGCCACAGAGTACTCTTTTCAAAATGCAGCATATGTCACTTAGCAGTATGGGAATTAGGATTATACTAACAATGACAAACACAGCTCAACACAAAAAGGAATCTTTGCATAAAACGTGGTTGACCCAGCATTGGGAAGATTAATTGACTATAGTCTCAAAAAACAGAAAAAAAACAGATTTTTTTTCAGCTAGTGCTTTGTAGCTGCGGTACAGTACATGTTTGGTTACTGTACACAGGCTACTTCTGCTAACGGGTCCGTCCTTGTTTTCCTTATCTGGCTGTTAAGAGAGCTCCCGGTTTCTCCAAGGTTAAGTTCTCTCTCTTTATCACAGCAGAGTGGGCTAAGTAGTTGGCAAATATTTAAAGTTAAGGCGTTTTTTCTTTTTTCAGCTGTTTATCTTTGTTTTCAATCCTGAAAAGTATTTTTATGTTGTTTGTTTGGAGGTTGAGGCCTGTTTTTAGCTACTGTTATTACTCCATCACACTTTACCTTCAGCATGATTGGTGTTCTTATAATATATTTTTTCAAGGTGCTGTAAATCATACTGTAGGTTATATACTATAGCTCTAAAGGTCAAAGTCCTTTTTATTGTAGAACACTATGGTAACAGTAGCCCTCCGCCAGCTCAGTATATGGTAAACAGCTGGCTTCATGCACTGACAGAGGTGGTAGCAGGATCACTTTAGGGGGACTCCCATTCACATACAAACACACACTTTTAAGTATACACAACTCCATACCGACAGCACCATTGATGTGCATGTTTCTGCCCATTCCCATCAAGGGCCCGAGGAAGACATGATGCAGAAGACGATTGTGCAACTTGTCCAGGGCTCAGCTAAACACCACAACAGACTCTCATGTTACCAGCCCACAGACAAATGACTGAGTGCTGGTAAATTTGACGACACTAAACAGAACCACATGACAAGAGCACTAGAGCTGCTGTGTGTGTGTGTGTGGAGTTTGTGGTCAGAGTTGCTTGGCAGAGCTTATTGGGCAGTCCGCCTTGTGATGCAAGAGTTGTCGATAGGAGGGTGAGACGGAGTAAAGCGTAGTGTGACGGCAGGAGTGTAGGTGTTTGTTTCATATGTAATGTAATCGGTTTAGTTGTAAACAGAAGAACGCTTCAAGTAATAAGGGTGACTGAGTTTAGTTTAGGCATGAAGAGATGTGATGTGACCAAAATCACTGCTTCCAAATTTACAGTGTAGACTTTTTTTTGGGGGGGGGGGGCTTTTATTGCCTTTTATGATAGAGACAGCTGAAGATAGACAGGAAAGGGGGACAGAGGGGATGACTCCTCGGTACATGGGTCGCCAGCTCTACCCACTGAGCTAACCGGATGCCCACAAACATTTATTTTGAAAATTAATTCACAGAATTCAGAGAAGAGGAAATATGTCATATATGAAACGTGTCTATTGGACAGAAATTTGGCTGGGTACTTACGAGACCAACGCCTCATTGGGTATCAGTTATTAATATGATCCATCCTTGGTCTAGGCCTTCATATAGTATGGTCAGTCTAGGATTAGTAGCAACTTCAACTGCAGCTTATGAGTGTTGATAGACTTAGAACGCAAGCATGCACTGCAGATTACAGTGAATAACAATGGGAAAGTTTGTGCGTACCGAGCCAAAGGTGTGTTATATAACAGCATATTTCTCGCTCAAAGTCCTTATTCATACCTACTCCACTCTGGAAAACAGACAAAACATAAAGCAGGCCTTCCATAAACACTGCAATAAAGCTTAGTTCCACCGCGTGAAGGTCATTTGGCACTCACTGGTGTGAATATGAGGGAGGCTATAGTTTTACAGTGTTTTTCAAATTGTTTTCAGCTTACATAGGGCCGTACATGTCGGCATGCCAGCAAAACCGAAAGCGTTTAAGGCTATAAATATAGGCTTTAAAATGAACCATAACACTGCGTCCATCTCACGGCGTGCAGTATGTCCGCTGATACTTGATATCCTAGAGTTGTGAAGGGTAATTTCTCCCCGAGACTTTCTTGACAAGACAGGCTCCGGTATATCTCCACTTCATCTAGATACTAAAGGCCTCCTGCTACAGCAGCTCTGTCTGGATAACTTCAGCCTGTTTCTCTTTTCTCCTTACATAACTCAACCACAACGTTTATGAGTTGGGAGTAAAGGGTGGAGAGAGGAGACAAATGAAGTCTCCTCAGTGAGCTGACTGCCAGACCAAAAGCCCATGTGGGTTTAATTGACTCTATTGCATTAGCTTAATGAGCACAACCCCTTCTGACCCTGCTGTACCAGGACACTCAAATCAGCTGTTGGACAGTAGTTGATTCTGAGAATATTAACTTATTATTAAGATTAATAAAAGCTGTTAGTCTGCCCTACAGTGTTATATAATCTACCATGGGCAACCAGTGTGCCATGTGGAACCAGCTTTGTACCAAACAGCAGTGAATTAGCTGATAAGCACACCCAGGAGGAACAGTGCAATCACCTGCTGGAGTAAATAGCTTCATGGCGCACGGTTGCCAGCGCTTTGTTTACAAACTGTTGTGCTACAGCGAGGGGTCGATGCAGAAGGGCTGCTGTTGTGGGCGGTCGTACTTCCCCGTTGTCCTCATTGGCTCCCCACTTTTCCCAAAACCACATGTCTCCCAACTCCTCCCTCCTCCCCATGACTTCCCCCGGTGAGAGTTTGACCGAAGTCATATGTACTGTACATGCGAAAGGCTGCTGTCTTTTGTAACGGCGAGAACTAGTGTTCAGAAAGCGGTACGGCAAATGATTCAATATGGGGCTCTCTTTCGCTTTAGTGGGAGATCTTGGACGGCGTCAAGCGGCAAGAACACCGTGTTCTAGACTTAGTTGCCCTGCTTAATTTATTGCAACACAATCACTGCTTGGAAACATCTCATTTTTTGCGGTGCTTACTTCGCGGAATATTTCGTCATTTTCTTCTGTATTGCCATCAGTACCACCCAAGGAAGACAGCTGTTTGCTTCCTCTTGAGATGACAGAGCACACGAGTGTGGGAGAGGAGTAAAAGTTTTCTCTCGGACCGAGAACCACCTGACACCCTCCTCCTTCTGCGCTCCCACCGCCGGCATGACCCTCGGCACGGTGTCCGGATCCGACAGCTCGTCGGCGGTCAGCTTCTGCTCCTGCTGCGGGGCCAAGATGGTACCCTGTTTCAGCGACGACGCGGTGGTGTCAACAAATCAGATCAACCAGCTGTAAGTCGTGGCAAGTGGCGGAAGGTAGATGCACTCTGCATTAGGCGGAAGGTTGAGAGTGTTTAATACATTCAAACACTTTGTTAAATTAAGTGTATATGACAGGGACAGGCATTAAAGTTAACGTGAAGTAGCAGGGTCTCCATCCAAACTAATTACAAATGAGCACATCTTCACACTCAAATTAAACTGAAGTTAATGTCTGTATTTTGGAATTGAATTGTTGTATTATGGATAGACTGTTAATACTGCATTTATATATCCAGTCACTGGTCTACACATCTGGAAATTGAAGTAACAATGTGGAAAACTTTCAACATTGTAACACTATGAGTAAACTGAACATTTGTAACAGTTTTGCAACATCAGTGTTTAATGTATTTCCTGGTGACGCAGCAGGGTCTTACTCATCTCAGTGCTCCTTTTTGACCTTACTAAGACATAATGGCTCTGCATGAGAGTGTGAATCATCGTACCTGTTTCACAGGTCCAGACACACGTCATGGATTTGTGGAGACAAGCATACATCACCTGATCACCATATCAAGAGTTTTTGTGGGGCATAATGTCCCTCCCTGTTTTGTTTGTGTAAGGCTGGGATACTGTTTGTTTGAACATGTGAGTGTTTGGTGGGACAAAAATAGTAGTTATTAAGTAGCAATTAAGGCCTTTTTTTAAATCAGGTTTTAGATAAACATCCGGGAAAATAACCTAAGTAACCCGAAGAAGAAGAGAACAGTGTTTATAAGATGTTCTATATTTCTGTATAAAATGTGGTGTTTAAACGTATACCAATAACTCAAGCTAATGTCTGAAGTCTCTGACTCATCGTCAGATAATGTTTTCTAGTGACAGACCCCCCCAAAAAAATTTGGCGTTTATCCACTTGGCACGTGATAGGAAACCAGGAAACAAGCACCCAAATGTCACTTTTAATATAATCCTTAGAGATTATGACAATAGAGCTCCTTGTAAACCAGTAAGAAGCTACACTTGAGATGCGTGGGTGATTGGCTGCTGATCAGATAGCATTTTCTGACCTAAAACTCAAAGCCTCTGCTATTAATTTTAACCCTCTATCTCACAGGTCAGTAGACTGAACTTAATATTATATAAGTTTCTGGCTTTATTCATACTAGTGTATCCTACAGTGATCTTATTGGTGATCTACAATGTCTGCAGATGTAAAGGCAAAGGGAGGTAAAGGCTTCTTTTTGCTTGTGGGTTGTAAAAGGATTTAGTTGACTTGTACATGTGGTGAGGACAAGTTTGCCCTTCAGGACAGATCAAAGGCTAGTCTGTTCCAGTGTTTCCAAACTCTCATGTGGTGCCGGCTCAGATAAGCTTAGCAAATTTGGCGGGGGTGAAAAAAAAAAATCAATGAAGAAATTACTGCAACTGGATTAAAAGATGATGAAATCAACATTACCCAATTTTCCACAAAATCAATTAATTTAGTTCCAGTGTCTGCGTTTCTTGTTGTTTTGTAAGATTTTCGTGCACTCGGTAATTGGTTGTTCCCCGCATGAGAATTGGCCTTCAGTCGTGGTTTTCAGGAAAGTCAAGGACAACCTGTCTCTTGTTGATTGCATTGTTTTTCAGCTCTTTAACACATGATTGAGCGGTGAGGTTATCGAGCAAACTGAACATTTAGTCTTCATTAGGTCTGCACCCAGTCTTTAAAGAAATAGTGTTTTTATGCTAGTTTGCACAAGGAAAGTTTATGGGAAGACACACACACAGTGCGTACTGGCAGGCACGTGTTTCTAGTAAACAGCGGCAGATGTGGGACTCCTCTGACGTCCGGGTTTTGTTGTCTGCGTTGCATGATGCTTGATTGTTTTTTACCAGCACTCCTTTTGTATTGCTCAGGATGGGCAATAGCTCTCATTACAATGCAGGGGATTTTATCATCCTTTGATTTATAGCACCCAGTGTGTGTACATGTGTGTCAGTATGTTTAATGTTTGTGTACACATGTTTATTTAGTTTGTTTATAGTGTGAACGCCAGTACGTGGCAGAATGTCAGCGGGGCTCTAATGTTTAACCAGGGTTTGAATGAGTAATTACAAGTCTCGAGGCTGTCCATGGAGTTAAGTGTTACCTGTGGCTAAATGCCACCTATAACACCATTGTTATCCCACCAATTTTAGAAATACCAGTAAACCCCTCTCTTCCGCTGCACTTGTGTGTTTGTGTTGCGTACCTGTTTTTCCAAAGAAAACTGATAAGACTGAAACGTGACAACTGAGGTGTGTGTTTGTGTGAGTGGCTTCAGCAGCTGAACAGGCATATGGGCAGCTGGATATAGGTCACTAGTTATGCTTGTGTGTCTGTGTGTGTGTGTGTGTGTGTGTGTGTGTGTGTGTGTGTGTAATGCATCTAAAATCAAATAACCTACATAACTTGGTTTAAGTTGGTATAATTAGCTTCAGCAAATGGCGTGAGATCTGACCAGCTGTTTAGCTATCGAGTGTATCACAGTATCCACTGCCCAGCATCTTTATAGTGTTTTTTAATGGATGTGTGTCCTTGACGTTCCACATGTTATAAGGTGCACTTATTCTTTTTGTTACCACAGGCTATCAAAGTTGGAATGGAACCTCTTATTTAGTCATTGTCACTACCAACTGACCCACATTTGGCCTCATTTAGACCAGCATTAAATTGTACTTTATTGAGCTTCATCAGAACTCTTTCTCTGTAGTTTGACTAAAAGTAAAAATGTAATCTGAATCCTTCTCAGAATAGCACTGCATTCCCAGGTCAGGTGTGTTTAGTTCACCAAGGTGGCTGGTGCTCAGACCATGGCCTGCACACTGGATTGTCAGAGAAACTGAAGCAAAACTTGGTCCTCACAACATGTTGGCTGGTGTCTGTGCCTCTATGTTTATGTTAAGTCTATGTTTGTATGACCTGGTAATGCTTTCTCTTTATTAGTTCTCACCCTCTTCTTTTCTTTCTGCCCTCTTCTGTCTAATGCTTTTTTGCATTTGTAATAAGTCTTGAACTTGTTTCTGGGGGAAATTTGTCTTTATTAGACTGTTTACCAGTGAAAGGCTGTGCACCAGAATCGAACTGAAGATGTTGCAGTTAGGTGTCCTTTATGACGCCCCATGAACTTGACTTTTCTCTCCTCTCATCCATCTGTCACTGTGTTCTGCTTGTGACACATTTTCCATGGCCAAGCCTCTGAGTAGCAGGCCCTAACGTGCACCTGTGAACATGAAGACATACACGAACACATCAGCTAAGTCCCTGTCTTTCCCATGGGCTGTATCTGTCTCGGGTGCAAACACATAAGGCCTTAGTGGGGCCTGCCCTGCATACAGCCAGGCCCTATATTTATCCCACTCTCCTCCTGAGAGTGACTAATATGGGCACGGGCCGAAGGAGGGGGTCACCCAGTTATCTCCCCACTATGTGGAGTGGTCCTTACATAGTTATGATTGTGTCTGTGACTGTTGCCCTAACAAGTACCTACCGCTTCACTTCTGCCCAAAGCTTGGGATGGCTGAATGCCAAAAGACGACCCACCCCACTCTCAGTTACACACTCGGACTGGGTCGTGACTCGTCTTTCTTTAACTTTGTATCATCCTTCACTGCTCACCCCTCATTCACCTACTTTGTGAAGTCAGATTTTTGCCCTCTTCCCATATACCCACTTGCCGTATACTTCAGTGTAGATATTTTTTACCTTAATTCTGACTTTTTTCTAACCTTTCTTGTTAGACCATTGAGCAACATACACATAATATAGTTAATCTGAGTACATTAAAACGGACAGTCTCTGATGGTGCATTACAGCATTAGAAATGTATCAGTTTAAATGAGTTCAGTGTACAGGCAGCTGTTATGCATTGACAATGCTGATGTAATGACAGAGTCTCATTGATGCAGAGATTTGCAGAATGGGTTCACTGTCACTATCTGAAAATATGTTGCTTGTGTGTGGAATAGGCTGGCATATAATTATTGATCAAATAGTGAAAACTGATCTAATTTCCCACAGTGCAAAGCAGTGTATTTAGACATGGCAAAGAAAAGCATCAAATTCTCACATAAGCTTAAACTACTGAATGTATGGCTTTTGTGTTTCAAAAATTACTGAAACAGTTGACAGTTAATACTGATATAATGTTAATTGCTGCAGCTCTAGTGTGGAATCAGTGGGGTGGTGGTAATGTATTTGTTTGGTCTCTACCTAGCCATACCTTTCTGTACTGTATGTCTGTAAAAGTACACCAAAACTAGTCCCTACAATCAGAGCACATGCAGGCTTCAGTGTTAAACCTCTGCAGTATCCGTGTCTCCTGTCAAAGAGACGCTCCTCTGTACAGTAAGTCGACCATGCTCTTCTGAATGCAGTCTATCAATAGCTGAGACTTTTAAAGGACTATTGTATTTTTAGAATTTGTATTCGAGTCATTAACAGCCCCCCACCTCTCCAACCGTCAGGCTTAGATTCCACTTTCTCAATGTGTCAGTGTGCAGGCGTAATAGTGCATGTTTGCATACATGCACGTGCATGGCCTTCCAGGCTGATTCTCAGAGAGAGTTACGGGTGTTACATTTAGGATGACATTGTACAGTAGCGCTCCTATACTTGGTCATTGCCAAGTACAGTGCATGGGTCTGTGTGTGAGCACAGTGGTACATGATGCAGCAGGAACGGAGGAGAGTGGCGGAAATGAGAAGTAGGACGGAGTTCTGAGGAATGCAGAAAAGAGGAAGTGACAGAGGGGAGAGTGAGAGGAAACGGCTGGGTCAAGGGTGCGAGGGTTGTGGGAAATCAGCACAAGGCTGCGGTTTTGTTTTTTCCCTCTGTCCCTGTTGTCTGTGTCTCCTGATCCCGTACATCCATGGCCTCAGCAAAACTCAGGAAGGGCAGTTGGATGGCTGGAAGGATGGAGAGATGAAGTTACAGACAAAAAGGGAATGACAGGAAGCCTAAATGGCAGACGGCACCAGCCTTTTTTTGCAACTGAGGAACTGTAGATGCCGGGTTCATTGAGTGTGGACTTGCAGCCTGCTGCCGAGGGCGGGTTAGTCTGTCTGGCTTTGTGGTTAACCATCAAAATACGCAGATTACCTGATTGTATGCACAAGTACAAAAGATATACGTGGCCTTGATGTCATCACCTCCCTTTGATTGATCCCAGTGATCGTCACTGTTTGCGTGCGCAGTTGTCAGTTCCTTGTCTTGGTTTCTGGCCCCGGAGGCTGTGAAACCACTCTTTGAAGTTGAGCAGAACCGGTCAGCCAACTCCCTGGATCAGTGTTTCCTTTAGTAACACTTATATATCGCAGTGCTTGTTCCATTTTATTAAGGACAGACTGCAGTGAGCTTAAACTTTTGCTGACATTTACCATATTTAACCTCCTTAAAAAAATCACATTGTTTTGGCTTATGTTCTGTATAAAATATTGAATGTGGAAAATAAAAAACAACTACAGCTGGGCATATATTCAAGCCAGCAGATAATTAAAAATACTGTTAAAATGCAATAAAAGTAACAAAAAAGGGTTCTTCTGAAAATCTGTTTAACTTTAAGAACCACATTTGGCTGGCTGTCGAGGTTGTGGCTACACATGTTCCCGTTCTTAGATAGGTTAAGTTCTTGCCAGCTTGAATTGTGGTCTCAGTGGTTAAAGGCAAAACCTGCAGAACAAATACACCCAATGTGTTTTTGTTACTATGATGGATTCCTCCTTAGTTTGCAGGCGCTACTTCAAATCCCAATTAAATATATAAAATGCATAGTTTTCTCTGGCAGTGGTGCTTTTTTCTGCATCTGCTTAATAAATGCAAGAGCGCCATTGCCCAAGTGCCTGCTGTCTAAGTGGCAAACCTCTTGCTCAGCATCATAATGGTTATTGTTTCCTGGTCCCATGGCTGTCACTTGACATGGTCATAAGTGGCTGCAGAAGTAGGTCTTCCAACCTGTTTTTATTGGTCTCTTGTGTGACTTAGGTTAGTGTGTCACCGTGAGACTCTAAACAAAAACCTAGTCACTCACACATGCAAGCAGGCAAGAGGTGCTCACACACACACACACACACACACACACACACACACACACACACACACACACACACACACACACACACACACACACACACACACACACACACACTGTTTGGTATCCAGTTGAAACACTGACCTCAGTTTATTATGTGTCCTCTTCCTCAATGCAGTGACCTCAGTCACAGTTAATAAGATTAAGTGTTCCAGAGAGGAACAGAACCCCGTTTGATACGACCTGCTTTGGTGTGGAGCACTGTGCGCTCGCCAGCTCTTATCTCTGCTCAAACATTGTGTAGGAGGGAACTCGCTCAGTCTTCCCTCTCGGACCCCCAGTCTCCTCCCAGTCCCCCCATCCCTCCCTACTGGCAGCTGTTAGTGTGAGTAAGACTGTGTGTGCGATCCAGCTGTGTGGAGGAGCAGAGAACATTGTGTTCTGAGTTCACATCAGGGCTTGGATCTTGTTTTACTTGCATCGAGCCTGTCAGCTCTGATTTGGGGAGCCCGCAGACCAGAGGCCAGTTGAATGGAGCATTGTGACTCTGACATAAGACCATGACAACACTCATCTGTTCCTCATCCCCATCTTGTGCTTATTACGAGAGGCTGGGGTCAGCATGTGCAAGAAAGTGATAACAAATGTAGTACATTTTTATAATTACATAGGTTGCACAAAAGCAATATGATTAGATAATTTGGAAGAATTTGAGGCTTCTATTCACGTCTTTCTTTCTCTTCCCTTCCAGTATCAGTGAGAGCTTCCTCACTGTGAAAGGTGCAGCCCTGTTCCTTCCCAGGGGAAATAGCCCCACGCCTAACTCTGCACCTCGTATCAGCCAGCGCAGGAACAAGCACACAGGTAAAGACTTGTACACACAAATGACAGCTGCAGCTTCTCCCAGTGCTTTCCTCCACTCAGTTTAACCCTTAGCCTCAGAAATGAACTCCATAGAAGAACTTGAGAATAAATAGCACAGTGTGTTGTCAAATAGACATTCCTCTGCGGCATCATCAGTAACAGCTGGTGTTAACTTCACTGAAGCTGTTTCACAACAAGGCAGATAAGTTCAGTGCAGTCAGTTCACTGCTGCATGCAGTGTGGTGGCCAACTTGTTTGATAATATTTTGTCAAAGAGACCACATTTAAACTATCTTAAAACAACGTTTGATAACTGGAGTAAATTATAATCTGCTGCTTTTATAAAGACAGCCTTTGTAGATGGAGGTGATGTTTGTGGTGTAAGATGGCCTGATTACTATAAAAAGCATCACAAACTTTGTTTAAAAAATAACAGGCTTTTTTCTTCAGACGTATTCATAGATGAGGTAGAATTTAGAGTTAGTGAGAGAGACTCCAGTGGGAATGCACTGGAAACTCGCCACAGGGTAAATGACACATTATCTTGGGTGTTATGTCAATGCTATGAACGAACGCGACTGAAACTGAATGTTGAAATCCTTTTATCCAGGTGACCTTCAGAAACACCTCCAGACCATGTTCACTGTGCTGCGGCCAGAGGACACCATCCGACTGGTCAGTAACACCACGCAAACACACACACACACACACACACACACACACACACACACACACACACACACACACACACACACACACACACACACACACATTTAATAACAAAGGTCAGGAGCAAGGTAGCATTGTGATCAGAGAGATTATACACCAAACTGAGGGCCCAGTTTCAGTTCTTTGTTAGCAAAGAAAGAACTGAAACTTGTTGGTCTTAACCCTTATCTGCACCAACAACTATACTCTTACAGTAAGTATTTGGAGTAACACGCATTCTTGCCATTTCCCTGAAGTACATGCAACATCTTTGATAAAGAGGCATACCAGCAAGCTAGTATTACACTTCTCTAAAGTCGAAGGACTTGTGAAAAGAAAGAATAGTCAGAGTTAGTCTCTGGTACAGGGCACACTCCTGCAAGTCACTTTATGGTAAATAAACTGATCATATATTTCTTTGTTTTGATGTATTCAAAAAAATGGCTCTGCCTCTCCTCTCTTTGCTAATTTCCCCCTATCTTAACGTCTCCTTTGTATTTTTCGTTGCAGGCTGTGCGTCTAGAGAGCGCCTACCCTCAGGTAACCCGCTACATGGTGGTGGTCTCCACCAATGGTAGACAGGACACGGAGGAGAGCATCGTGCTCGGAATGGACTTTGTCTCCTCTGATAGGTCAGTACCAAGATTACAGTCCTGTAGTGCGTTTAAACAATACTGATCAAACCCCACACTTGTGACAACAAATAAGAAGAGGTGATAGTTATCTATATATATACTGTTTATATTTCATTTCAACAGTGGTTTTTATTATTGTTTTAATCTTGAATTTATACTCTCTTTTAATCCATTTTAACTTTAACTGTATATACTTACCTATCAAATAAGGACAGGAGGATGTGGCTAGCAGCTAACCTAAAAGTGAAGGATAAGGGCAACGTGCTTATGTCTGACTTTCTCTGCTGTTTTGCTTTTGAATGTTGTCCTGGATACATCTGTGTGTTATGTAAAACCAGTGTGTCTTGTTTTGTTGTGCTATTGTTTAACGCGTTGATCTTCCTACCAGCTGCTGTACTGTGGGTCTGGTTCTACCTCTGTGGAGTGACACTTTGATCCACTTGGATGGAGACGGGTAAGAGGCTACACCTACCTCCTGCTTCCTCTTACTGCTCCCTAGGGCAAGCGACTGTATACTCTGATGACTTGATTACATGTTGCTCTTATGTAGCCAAGTTGTGTTGTGTTGTTGTTATAAGATGGATATAAACAACGGTCCCGGCACCATTTCCTCCTTCCGGCCCACAGCATGATGTCAAAAATAGCCTATAATATCTAATGTTTTTAAAAATGTATTTTGTTTGGCTCAACATAATGGCAAAGGTCCAAGGTGCTGGCAGATGAGTGATAAGAAGAGAGCAGGTTTTGGGCCTTCATTTGTTGTCTGGCTATGCGGATGATATTAAATGATGACATAAGAATTTATATAAACCGCTGTTTGCAATTTTTGTTAAGTATGATGTTAGTAATGGAAATGATTTCAGAATATTGAGCTTTCTTGTAGTACATATATATTAGTGCTGTCAGTTAAACGCGTTATTAAAGGTGTTAATGCAAACCCATTTTAACGGCGTACATTTTTTTTATCGCAAGATTAACATTCTTTTTGGCCTAGCACACTTTGTAGTTTTTTTCACATGCTGTTGGAACAACTAGTAACGTTAGAAAAGCTACAACACCACACCGGAAACAAAACAACAGGCACGCCGCACACACTTGTTCAAGAGTAGTAGACGTTATGTTTTGAGTGGATGGCGAGCGCGAGACGCCGAAATGGATGCCAATAATATTCTGAATGGAAAGTTTACCTTTAAAAAGTTGCCAAATGGTTCCATTGACAAGACCAAAGTGATCTGTGTGTTTTGTCCTTGTGAACTGAGCTATCATCGCAGCACGTCCAGTCTGAAATACTACTTGATGGCCAAACACACAGCTGATGCGAATTCTCCGCCCCCTCGTCAAAGCCAGGCGACAATGGATGATTTTTCAATAAAAACAACATTTGCACAAAGCAAGCCGATCCACTTTTCCATGTTGATAAGAGCATTAAAATGAGAAAAAAAATAATGGGACAAAAAGAAATCAAGGGACATTTAGAATAGATAAAAATGTGCAATTAATTGCGAGTTAACTATGACATTAATGCGATTAATCGCGATTAAATATTTTAATCGTTTGACAGCACTAATATATATATATATATATATATATATATATATATATATATATATATATATATAAATATATATATATATATAAATATATATATATATATATATATAAAATAAATATATATATATTATATGTGTTATAATTTATTTTGAATTGATAGGCTTTAACTTTAGCTATGGAATATTCAATCATCTATCTTTGCTCAGTACATCTTAGAATTTCTATTAACAGATACCCCAAGCCAATTTGAGTTTGAGACGCCTGCTTTAAACTATTACTGAGCATCCCATTCCTAGATTTACTTCTGGCTCCCTCTCTCTCTCTCTCTCTCTCTCTCTCTCTCTCTCTCTCTCTCTCTCTCTCTCTCTCTCTCGTCACAGTGGTTTCAGTGTGTCAACGGTGAGCAGGGTTCATGTTTTCAAGCCAGTTTCTGTGCAGGCCATGTGGTGAGCAACCCTCATTGTTTTTCAGCTAATAACAGCTATGTGACGTTTTCATTAAGGTTAGATTTGCAGACTTAAAGAGACTGTATTCATTGTAAACCCCCTTTTACTTTGACCTCCAGCCTTTTATCTTTGTCACTGTTTCTTATCATCCCTCTCTTCTTTCCTTTTTTCCCTCATTATCTCTCTGCCTTACAGTCTGTTCTTTATCTTTCCCTGTCTCGCATGCCACTGCTGTCTCTTCATTTCCGTACTCTTTGTCCTCATTTCCTCATTTTCTTGTCCCTTTGTTACTTTGCTCTTTGTCTGACCTCTCTGTCCCATGAATATCTTCTGATACCTTCATTTATCTGCAGTTATATCTCTGTATTATGTCTCGTCATCGCTTCTTCTTTCCATTCTTCTCTTCTCACCTCAGTTGTTCCTTCGTTTCTCTCTCTAATTATTCAACCCACGCCCCTTGGTATATTTCTCAAATATGTGATTCATTCCCCGCTTATCTTTCTGTCAATTTTCACTTTCTCTCCATCTCACATAATTCCTCCCTTCCTCTTATCTCTTTATTCTTCTTTGCCCATTGTTATAGCCTCTCTTGATTTAAATGATTTTTACTCCCAGCCAGTCATGTTCAGTCCAAATTTCACTTCAGTTTTAGTATTTAGTATTTTTTGCCTCTTTGCCCTTGAGACAACCTCTCAAGTGTGAATCCTCTTTGCTCTTGCTGTCTGCCTCAGGTCAGCCCTCCAGTCGCTCCACAAAGCGTGCGAGGTGGCGCGCTGCCATAACTACTACCCAGGCAGCCTGTTTCTGACCTGGGTCAGCTACTACCAGAGCAGGGTCTCATCCAACCAGTTCTGTATCAACGAGTGGAACGCCATGCAGGACGTGGAGTCGCACCGTGCCAATTCACCCGTCCTCTTCACAGACCTGTGAGTAGAGGAGGGATAGACCACATGAATACACATACACACACAGATCCACAGTTCACACTGATGATGGAATATCTGGAATATTGTCTGGTCTTTGATGCATTCCAGACAGGGAGTCATTTTCACAGGTTTTCATTTTGTATGCACGTCCCCCATTGATATGTGGTGCAACATTCCTGTGTTAAAATACAGGGTGAATTCACTGGAATATAGTTGTTGTAGGCCAACAACTTTCCCAAATAATTGTTATTTTGAAAACAAAAACTGATGAAAAGTAACTGTAAAACTAACACTCAGAAAAGTTCATATACAAAATGTAGCTGGTATAGCCAACAATAGAGAAAATTGAAAATCCCCTTAATGTTGTACCATGCACACTAAATATACTTGTGAATATACTCATGTACGGACACATGTACAAAAATAATAATATGAAAATAATTAATGGAGAGGCTTGGAAAAGTCTTAAAGTTTTACACGACAGCAATGCTTGAATGTGCATATGCATTCCAGCAATTTGTGAAAGGGCACAGGAAAAACATGTGTGCACACATCTGGACAAACATATGCATGACCAGCAAGATGTGACCATCTCTCACAAAATCACACACACTGGCATAACAGATTCAGAGAAAGTCAAATGTGTTTCACAGTAGCTGCATTTATGCAAATATGTGCTCAGTGGTATCTTCACAGCATCACTGCCTGGCCACTCCTCACGTGCCGACAGTATTGCTACATTTCTATGGCACGATATCTCAGGCTATCAGTCTTCAGAGCGCTGAACTCTGGAACTTGGGCTCACGTGCTTTCTGTAACCTCTCTGGGTAACAAGAAGCAATACAGAGAGGCACAAACAAAAACAAAAGCACCACATGCAGGCACAGTAGTAAATGCTGAACTTTGTGCAAATAGATGCATGCTGATACACACACACACATTAAATCTTTATCTTTGGGACATAGAGTTGTCAACAGATTCACAAGGGAGTATAGGAAATACAGGGAATGACACAGACTGCTGACTTTATGTCTTTACTAATGCCAGGGAAATTCCCCTCTCTGCTGCTTAGTCACGTGCTACCTTGCTACCTATTTTGAGCTGTCTCTCTCTCTCTCTCTCTCTCTCTCTCTCTCTCTCTCTCTCTCTCTCTCTCTCACTCATTTATGCGCGCGCGCACACACAGACACACACACACACACACACTTCAGAGATCCTCCAGTGTCCAAAATAGCTGAAGCTTTAGCCAGCTTGATTTACGTGTGGAAAAATGGAATCCAGGCAAACAAATAGGTAGACCAACACAGACGGACAGAAGCAGGTGGCAGGCAGAGAGAAGGGGGTAGAGGATGTGGGTGTTTCGGGGGGGGATTAAGGAAGATAGTCTGCTGCTGCATGCACCTGATGCCCCTGGAGGAAAGAAGAGAGGTAGGGACAGAAAGAGAAATCAAACTCCACTTTAAAACTTGACAATCAAGAAACACCCTTATTTACTGTCCTCCTGGAAACAGATACATTACGCACTCTGTCTTTGGCGGAAATGTGTTTGCACTCGAGTGCACTTATCTTTAAGATTGCCACCCACACTTTATGAGCTCCAATACACACACCCAAACACATAAAAGTCCTTGTTTGTTCTCCCGCACAGGGTGACTGCCAAAGCTACATGAGCTGCCAGTGTTTGTTGACATGGCAGCTCATACCGCTGTATAATCATTGAATGAAAGGTTGAGATAGCAGGAAGTAGTTTGATTCTGGCATGTTTTTGAGTTTACTTGATTAATGGATCTGTGAATTCCCGTTGGCTACTTCTCTATCGGCGATTCAAGGAAGTGACATAGAATTTCCATTGTTCAGTTACTCATTAGCGCCATTAAATTGTATCGTCATACACTCGTCACACATGTGTACTCTTTTATTTCTTATTTTTCTGTCTGTTTCCCTGGCCAGCCGTCCGTCCCCCAGGCTGTCTGTGGGCAAGTCAAGGCTTGTTGTGAGGTTAAAGCGTAACTGGATGTCGGTAACTAACCGTATTTGTTGGCAAGAGCGAATAGGTTCTCTTTCTCTTAACCCTGTGGACTCATTCTCTTGGGGTCAGTAAGACGTTCAGCACTGAGATAAACAAGCAATTCTCCTACACAGATAGATGCTTTTAAGTGTACAGCTACACACCTGAGGCCATCACACTGCCCCTCTTTGTAACCGCTGACCCACACTGCTGTGTACTATTACAGTTAGGATCCGGTTAGAAGCAAAACAAGAGAAAATTAGACAACGTAAGAAGGAGAAGTTTGGAGACAAACTGAGCTCCTCTCTCCGCGGAGGTAATTAGGCCACTTGTTGGTATCATCAGTGTGACGTCCAGAGGCTAAATGCGTCCAACAGCAGAGTGGTTAGAAACAGAGCCAGGCACAACAACAGGGAGACTCTACAAGGGGACTTTGTTGTGGATCGCCGATGGGCCACACTCTCAGATTTTCTGTTCCGTCTCCAGTTTCTGAGAATCAGACAAAGTGGCAATTCTCTCGTGGAACAAGTAATCTCATTGAGACTCAAGTCAAAATGCATCAATAAACAGAAGGAAAGTGCCGTTACTGTGACTGTGAAAGGTGGTTCTTTGTGTCCTGAAGTTTTTTGGGGTTTTTTTTAGGCTAAGAGAAAATGTGTGAAAGGTGTTTTTTTTCATGAAGGTGTTTGTGTCCGTATGTACAGGCCCACAGAGAGGGAGCGCACAGAAAGGCTGATCAAGATGCGCCTGAGAGAGATCATGATGCAGAAAGACCTGGAGAACGTCACCTGTAAAGAGGTGAGAGGCATGTGGGTGAATGGGGTGAAAATAACAGGTGTATGCAGGCTTTAACACTTTACTGGTAAGATACCAAAGCGCCAATTTTCAACAATGAATCGGTTGAACTTTAACGGACGTGTGTATTACATAAACACATTTATTTTCTCTATTAAAGAACAGTAAATTTAACCCCTGTCCTGTCCAAGTGTCATCAACCATCATGGTGCTTCTCTGAATCGTTGTTTTCCTTTCCCAGATCCGAACAGAGCTGGAGATGCAAATGGTGTGCAACCTGAGGGAGTTTAAGGAGTTCATAGATAATGAGATGATTGTCATCCTGGGACAGATGGACAGCCCCACAGAAATCTTTGAACACGTCTATCTGGTAAGAACCAAGCAGCTTTTGCTTTTGAGCCATTGAGTTTGTTTTAGACAACACAATGCTCTTGTTTGTCACATCCTGCTGTTTGATCACTACGATACAAAAACCAATATTAGCAGATCTATTCCCATTTCACATAGTTCATGGTCAACAGTCAATTTAGTAACATACAAATGAGGTTGGGTCAAAGTAACTTGTAAGTTGTGACTCATTCTTAATTGTTCTTATATGTTGTATATATGTGTGTACACTTTGATATTGACTGGATCTGTGATGTCTCCAGGGCTCTGAGTGGAATGCTTCTAACCTGGAAGAGCTACAGAACAGCGGGTAAGGGATCAGTCAGTAACCACATTTACTCGAAGGCACACTCACCAATATCACTGTGAATTTTGATAAATGCAGAGACTACTCTTCATGTATTAAATATGTTTTCTAATTGAAGTTAATTAAAATGGGTAAATTACTGCTGCAAGTATTGCAGCAAAGGTTCATACATTGGATTTAATCTACCTGTAGTCTATGACAAAATTTACTGACAAAATAATCACAAACACATGGTCAACTGACTGACTTATTTGAGATCTTTCAACAATACCTCACAGTCTTCCTCACCATCATTTTGGAGTGTGTTTTTTTTCCAAATTCTGATCCACAGTGACCTGTGTGGTATTAGTTAAGCATTTATCATCTGAATAACACTGAAGTATGAACTGATGACAGTTTTATTGGAATTAAAAGGTCAACCTGCCTCTTCCTGTCTCTTACGTAGAGTGCGCTACATCCTGAATGTGACTCGAGAGATAGACAACTTCTTCCCAGGGATGTTTGAATACCACAACATCAGAGTGTACGATGAAGAGGCCACCAACCTGCTGGAGTATTGGAACGAAACCTACAAGTTCATCACCAAAGCCAAGTAGGCTTAAACACACACACACACACACACACACACACACACACACACACACACACACACACACACAAGGTTGTTAAGTTCTCTTTGGCTTGTCAGTCTTGTAATCCAACACATTTTCTCTCTCGTCTGGCTCTGTCTCTCTTAGGAAAGCCGGTGCTAAGTGTCTGGTTCACTGTAAGATGGGTGTGAGTCGGTCCGCCTCCACAGTGATTGCCTACGCTATGAAAGAGTACGGCTGGGACCTGGACACGGCCTTCGACCATGTTAAAGAGAGACGGGCTGTCACCAAACCAAACCCTTCCTTCATGAAACAGCTGGAGGAGTATCAGGGAATTCTGCTGGCCAGGTGTGCTTTAATGTAGAAGCATCTGTACAATCTGCACCTTCTTTACAGAGCATTCCCGTGCTAACAAGTTCTCATTTTTCTTTGCTTCTGCAGCAAACAAAGGCATAATAAGCTATGGCGCTCACACTCTGATAGTGACCTATCAGATCGCCCAGAGTCGATGTGTAAACCTTCCTCTCTGGTCCGCTCCGACTCTCACAACAACAACACTTCCTCCCCTTCCTTACATCACTTCTTGGGTGTGGCTGTGCTGCAAGCACTCGGTGCTGAAACTGAAGCCAAATCACCAAACACCACACACACCTCTGACTCACACTCAGACTCCAACGGTGTGTGTGACTCACCAGGTCAGGAGGAGGTCAGGTCAGATTGCGGAGACCGCCTCCTGCTCCCCCTCCCCAGACCCCGAGCAGCCACTGTAGTCCCAGAGGAAAGACTGGACAATTCAGCGAGCGTGGCCGTCACTGTGCCTGTTGCTCTCCCCCACCCTCCACCATCACTCCACATCTTACCTCCTACTCCCGAACTCCACCGTGCTCACCGGGGTCCTCCCACACATCTGTCCATTTCAGTGCCCAAAGACAAACCAGTGGAACTGTCCCTCTGTTTGCCTGAACGAAGCAGCTCAGAAGAAGTCTCCCCACTCACTCTGGGGTCCACTGACTCGGACGAAATAGACCAATCATTATCAGATTTAACGAGTGAGAAAGACAGCCCCCTCAGCCCTACAAATATCCCTCCCCTCCCCCTGGTTCTTCCCCTTGCTTCCAGCGATGATAACAACAACCCCAGCGAGTCACAGATCTGCAGCGTGTTGGACAGCCGTGGCGATGCCGATGGGTCGTCCAGCCACAGCGCAGACAGTATTGACTTCTTCAGCGCCAGGGAAAAGTTTCTGGGCCTGTCCCAAGACGGCAGATCCCGGACACTGTCTGAGCAGGCGCAACAAAGGACATCTTTGTCACTCGAGGAAAACGGAGAACCTGAGGCTAAGGAAGAAGAGGACCAGGGAAATGGCATGAGTCAGGTACGGGATCAGCATTTTGTCTTTGCTGTAACTTCCTTATACAGAAAGCCCCATAACTTTTTTTTGTGCACTTCTTGCATCTGTGGGTGTACTGAGCAGCGTCTGTGTGCATGTTACAGTTTTCCATGCAAAAGTTGCACCACTCTGCTCACACAGCTGTCACTGCAGCATACTTTTTTAACATTCTGGAAAAGCATATTTCATTTAAAAGGGCTAAAGCCATTCAGCTGCAGAAAAGGGACACATTGTGGTATTATTTTAGCCAAACATCATAAAAGTAAGTTATAAACAGAGTCCTTCCTTCTATCAGTCATCATCTGGTAGGGATACTGTAGCGGGTTTTAAGTAGTGTGTTGTCAATCAGTGTGTAGTTGGTCATTCCCAAGTTCAGGTTGATCTGTGTAGCATCATTTCATACAAACACACTAATCTGGGATAGAAGCAGCAGATAGCAGCCCTTTATAAGTGAATCTGGAATCTGACCAGACCAGTCTACAAGGTAGCAATGAACTGAGTCGATAACACTGACTCCACACTAAATCTGTATAAATCACAGTGACACCTGCTGGAAGTAGTAAGATAATGTGGGTACATTTATCACCCTCTATGTCTCCTCTAATTTTCTCATTTTCTATCGCTCTGTCGAAGCAATGCAGTTTTATGTAGAGTTTGAAAAGTTATTCATACAAATTGTAGCTTATAATAAAGGGAAGACTGTCACTGCCTCACAAATATGCTAACAATACAGAAACACCACAAGACTATTACTGATATTATCTCCATATGTCTCTCTTGTCCTCTCTGTTTGTCTCTCAGGCGTCTCCACAGTCTGAAGACAGCGTTGACAAAGCCAGCCCTGATCGAACTCATCACCCTCACCTTGACAACGGAGTATCAGTACGCCATATTGTCACGGAGATTGAAGCCATATGCCACCCTGCCTCCTGCTTTCCTACTCCCTCCTCCTCCTCCTCCTCTTCGTCACTCCCTCCATCCTCCCACAGCCCTCAGCTCATCCGACCAGAACATCAGATGGAGGCCGAGACCAGTGAAGTCACGCACGGCTCTTTAACCCCACCTTCGCACCCGCAGTCTCCCTCCATGCTGTCGTGCGACTGGCCGGCGGGCTCAGTGCGGCGAGCCACCAAGCAGCTGGAGCAGAAACTGAGGCAGGAAATGGAGATGGCTGCCTCTCAGCGATCTCCCCTGCATTCTCCCAGTGCTGAACACCCTCCCGTCAGACTGTCCCTGTGTCCCCTGAACACTGAACAGCTTCCCCTTCACTTCCCTCAGAACTCCACAGAACAAAGGATCACTCAGGGAGAGATCACGGCTGTATCTGCTAAGTCCAAAGACAGAGAGAAGCATACTGGGTCACAAACGGAGCTTCAAAGACTCGACTCCTCCTCAGGCACAGACAACCTACTGAACCCTTCATGCTCCCCTGACTCAAATATCAGCCAAGTCTCTGGTGCTATACCTACCATTGATAGCCATATGCTCACATCATCACTGGCTTCTACTAGTCAGTTGGAAGAATTATCTCTAGATACCTCAGCCCAGTCCCAAAGACAGAACCAGCAACACCAGACCCTGCCCCAGGCCTGTTCAAACCAAATGACTCTGGATGGAGTGACAGTGCAGGAGTCTGACACAGATAACACAGATAAGAGCCTGGAGTCCAGCTCCCAGGACGACGTGGGGGGCTGTGGCGCCCACTGTGATGCCCAGAGCAGGCTGGCTCGTGGCAGCCAGGAGCTGGAGAGGATTCAGCAGACGCTGCAAGAGCTGCAGGCCTTCCTCCATGAGGGCGTCAGCCTGGAGAAGACTGACAGCCCAGACCAGGAAGTGGTCCAGCCTCAGGGGCTGAGAGACGTTATGGACACAGAGCCGGGACCTTGTAAAGGGACGAGCTCTGAGCAAACCACTCTTGGCCTGGAAGTAGGCCAGCGGCTCCGAGAGAAGCAAGAGAGGAAAAGTTTCCTGGAGCTGGCAGGGTGGCACAGAGCCATGGAGCTCGAGGCCCGCATGCGGCAGGCAGGCCTCACCCCCCCGTCTCTCATGAAGCGGTCAGCCTCCTTGGCTAAACTGGACTGTCTGGAGCTGTCAGCCAATGACCTCAGCGACTTGGACCTGAGGCCGCACACCAGGACGCCCTCATCACACTCCCAGGACTCTTTTTCCAAGTGCCTGTCTCACCCTGACGACACCTGGAAGAAGCAGAAAGTGTTGGCCCGAAATACTTGTGTCGAAAAGACAGGTTTGTCCCACGGGGGCGGGGGTCTGGACGAGTCGTCCTCATCACCCTCCCTCTGCTTCCCCCCCAGCCCTCATCCAAGAGATGACACGGGTGAGAGGGAGGAGCCAGAGGGCAGCGGGAGCAGCGTGGTCGCTGCAACGCGTCAGCAGGGGAGGGGACACTCGTCGAGACGTTCTCGCAAAGCGTCTGCTGAGAAAAAGCAGCGAGCTGTCACTGTGCTATACAATACCATGTAACCTCAGTGCAATGGACTGGAACGGACACGACTGGAGCTGCGCAAATGTGTGAGAGAGGCTGCATGATGCGGATGAATGTGTAGCAAGTAAACTGTAGACTTTGTGTAACCTCCGACGTCGGTATAGTGTGTAAGAATTGAATGATGAACATATGTTTGCATGTAAACCACTGGATGTGTTGTTTCAATTGGAGTTCAGGTTTGTATGTACAGTAATGTAATATGAATGTCCAAACTATGACTGAACCGGTGCATACTGTATGCACTCCGTTGCGTCTGTCTCACTTTTTTTAAGAAGCGTTTGTTTTCAGTGTTTGACCCTCGATGCCTGTTCAGAGTTTCTAAGACTACAAGAGGGGCTTTTTCTCCAAACATGCACTTTACTATTTAGATGATTTTCTTTTATTTGAAATCTGTTTCTTATCCCGGGGAGAATTCTTTTGCACTGATCTCAATAGACTTGTCTCTGTATGCTTGTTTTTGTGTTCAAAGTGGACAGACGTGTCTTTATTCAGATTTTTAATTAAACCAGGACAAAGCTGATATCTTGTTGTTTTTTTTATTCAGTGCTTTAGCAGTAAATAAATATGGTGACTTTGTTTTGACTCCAATGACTGTACATTTCATCACACACACACACACACACACAAGAAACAATGACTATGAGCTACTGTACAGAATCTGTACAGTAGCTTTTCAGCATCTGATGCTGAAATGTTACCAAAATAGCATTGACTTTACTGCCACCTGCTGGCCAGGCACAGAACTACAGTCTAACATATCCTCAGGCACCAGAGAAGGTGATAAAGAAAGTCAAATGTGGTGAAAGTGTAACTCTATTTAACGCTGGAATAACCAACCAGACCTCCAGTTTTCCATTTGAACTGGTGAAAATCAAGGTCGTAACTTTATTATTGATAGAAATAAATTCTACCTGTAATTTCCAACTGAAAGTCTCTGTTCCTTTGAACAAGTCCATCCCGTCTCCTAGGGGAAACTATCTCCATCATCTCCCTGTGCAGCTTATTTCAGTCTGACATTTTACCTACTGTTTCATGTGGGTAATTAAACACTGAGATGTAGGCCACCGGGGCCCCTGCTGAGACACACACACACACACACACACACACACACACACACACACACACACACACAGATCAGATAGCAGCACTGACTGTAAAAAAATGACATTAAAGTGACCAGACTTAATAAAATAAATAAATAAATCAGGCTATAAAAAGACATTAAACACAGAAGCATTTTCAATTTTCTCATTTCCTGTGTTGGAGTGTAAGAATACCAAAGGCTGGGCTAGTCAGAGTGAATCAAGAGGAAAGCTAAAATCCCTCGATGATTTCACAAATTAAATCCACTTCAGTAGACAGAGCAGATGGGTTAAAGAAGGGCTTTTTTTACACAGTGTGTGTTCCAAGTTGAACTGTCGTGAACATGGAAATGGTGAGGAATAAAATCAGTGGAGCAGAAGAGAGAGGGTTACAGCGGGTGTTTGTCTCCCATGGTGAGATTGGCGTCCTTCCTCTTTGAATACTGATGCTCTCAGCCACTCTGTCTCTGACACACACCTTGTTTTGTGTCTGTGGCTCTTTACAAATTCACTTCACACACCCCTGCAGCCCAGCGCTTCCATCGTCCTGATGTTATTCATAATGTCGGGCTGAGTCAGAGCAGTGGAGAAGTTGTGGCTGCTGATTCACTTGGAAAATGATTTCATTTTCTCCCTTTTCTCTTCAACCCACCACAGAGTGCAGAGAGCACTGGGGTGCTCTGAGTGGTATTTCTTAGAGGGTTTAGAGTCTTTAAACTGTCCCTTTCCTCCCTGTCAAGCCTAAAATAACTACAGGCAACCCCCCGGATCAGGCTGAGGCGCTGGGAATCCATGTCACCGGGAGGATGATGGAGGTGGAAGCTGCTAAAAACAGATCAGCTCTCTCTGGTGCCGACTGTGCTGCAGCTCTGCCTATCTTGTAAGAAATTAATTGCTTTTGTCACCGTCCATCACTCAAGAGGACCACAAAACCAACTTACAGTGGAAGGCTGCAGGTAGAACTCCGGGGGGGGGGTCAAGGGATTTAAAGCACATGGAAGCTGTAGAATAAAACTAGATTAAAAAAATAACCCACTCATGCGTTGCTGCTCCAAAAGATGTTTCTTTATTTGAATCATTATCTGAACTCACTTCCCAGAATACACCATGAAAACATCTTGCAACATTTTTTAAAAAGTAAAAAAAGGAATATTTCTCTTATCAACCAGGCAAGCTTAACTATGAATTGGAAAGAAGCCTGAGGTGGTTCTCCTCAGTTTGTGCTGATATTGGAGTGTGAAAGTTTTACATTACTTTCAAAGAATTAACAAAGAAAAAAGAAACAAGCTGTCCCTGTCCATCATCGCCCCTCGCAACAAAACATTTGCGTTAGCCCTGCAATATGAAATTACTTACAATTATGAAAGCCAGGATTTCAACAATCTTTCCCATCCAAGAGCTGAATGCTTGTTTTTTTTTTTTTTTTTTTTTTTGCCACTTTTGGATTTGCTTTTGTTTTAATGCATGTTGTGTTATGTAACCAGCTTGCTATCGGGGTGCAATAAAACCTAAAATTGCCGTCAGTAGCCTCTACAGTGATTCTTGCAGGGTACATCTTCCTTCAGAGAGCGTGCTCTGATATTGCAGGTCTCCAGGCTAGACTCGAGTCGGACAGAATGAACCTCACACGGGTGCAGACCATGCTGAAATATTGTACACACACTGTACCATGACTACACAGAAATACAGAAAATCATCCGCTCATGTAAGGTGAGAAGATGCAAATATACAGAAAATCTCTTTTAGTAGCATTTCTATTCCACAATCCACTTATAAACCACTATCATGTCCCTTTAATGTTTGTATTACACACAGGCCTGCCACAAACTCATTCACAGTCACATACAGGTTAGATAGTACACTGAGTCTTCATCATCACATCTGTGCTCCTGCAGTCTAACGTCAGGCTAAAACTAGAACTGGCCTGAGTTTAGTTTTGTGCTCAAACTTGTTGTCTACATCCATTAACAGTCATATACGTGATCCACCCACAAGCTAAGTACAGTACGTCTGGATTTTGTGCAAATCAAATAAAATGTACCAGTCCGTGTTTTTTTTAAAATTAGTTTTCATTATAAACTGAGGAAGTCAGATGGTTTGTCGACATTCAACTCAACTTGACCAAGAAGGTTTAACGGTATTCTCCACACCACTGGTCCCTGGTTGGTCACTGCTCCTTTCACACAAGCTGTTTCTTTTTTTTTTAAATCACAGTTAAGACTGAAAACCACACGACTCAGTGGCAGAAGGTGTGTTAGTGCTGGAGCAGAGAGTTGGCCAAACACACTTTGTTTTCAGGACAGTGGGTGATCTGTTGACCCCTGTGCAGAGAGCTGGTTTTGAAACACACACACACACACACACACACACACACACACACATACAACACACACACACACACACAGACATACCTGCAAACAGGCAGAAATCACTCATCCAAGGAGGCATTCCACTAAACTTTTTGTATTGGATGTATTGTTGGTTGTAAACTGGCACTGGTCAAGAAAGTACCGGGTGGCACCAGAAAGAGCAAACTGAAGTCCCTCTCTGGCTGTCTGAGGCCGGACAGCCGCATCACCGTATGGCTTCATGGGAAAGGTCTGACTAAGGGGATGGGAGAGAAAGGAGAAGGCGATTTGATCGTATGAAACCACTAATATCATCTTTCCAGCCACTTGCAGAGTGTGCTTTAAGTTGCCCATGCTGCCTTTTTCTCCCATGTGTCCTTGGTCCAGACCCCCCCCTTCAGCCTTTCAGCCTTTCAGATCCCTGCTGCGGCCACTCAGCTCTCATTTCTCCATGAGTGACAGCTGGATAATGCGCTGTAGCTCCTCTTCCTCTTGCCGCCGCCGAAGCTCCGCCTCTTCCTGCTCCCGAGCTGAGATCTCCATGGCGATGCGCAGCTGCTCGTTGTAGCTGCAAGTGGTGGGCTTCTTCTTGGAGGGGGTGGAGCAGAGGCTGGAAGGGGGTCGGGGCTTGTGCTGGGGGGTCCTGGGGTGGGGGAGTAGTGAGGGAGGAAGGAGGAAGTGTAAGGTAAGGTCACAGTGGATTGGGAATTTCCAGTTTGCTAACTTGGCACCCTTAATAAAGATTTTATAGAATGAATGCTTAAAAGATCACTTACAACCACAAACAACAACGTTCAGGTTGCCAGGTTGTGAAAAATCCCTTTTGCTGATGTCTATCTAAGGTTAAGTTCATGAGGAAGACCCTCCACTGGACCGCTCAAGAGCTTTTGGAAAAGAGCTTTGTTAACTTTTACAACTGCAGACTGAATAGTAATTGTAAAATCCCTTTATTACTGTTAGTTGCAGATTCATTTTTTTAACTTTTTCTCAAGGCCTGTTAAGCTTTGATAATGACTTCATTCACATTTGTATCCTCAGAATTGGTGGCTTATTATAAAGAAAATAAAGAAAGAGACAGATACGTGAGAAAATCATGCTTGTCGCTAAATGAAACAATTGTTATAAAACTGATCCTCCTGGGAAAGAGTTTGGCTTGATATTGTTTAGGAAATGTATTAAATGGAACAAGTGACCTTTCTTTAATGAGTTCATTTTCGACAGAAATTGGTAAAAGTGGATGATTTACATGAAATGAGAGGCGGAACAGTTAACTTATCTAAATTCACACAGAATGAACATATAGTAGATATTTAAAGACCCTATGATAACTTTAAAGCTACATTGTTTGTCAATGTGTAGATGCTAAGATAGCTAAAGAGACAAAGCAAATGTCATGCAGGTCATTTATCACATGCTGGCAACCCAAATTGTAGCTATTATTAACAACTTAACAAACCATTATAATAAAGAGTGTCTTATCAGTGGGACTTACTATGTTTTCCATACTGGTTTCATTTTTCTTTTCTTCTTAAGTTCATTTTAGTTTCCTGGAATTATTTATTTCTTGACACAAGGGCAGGGAGGGAGGACAGCTCAAAGTAATTTACACAAACTTTCATGACCTTTTCAAAAAATATTTTAAACAGTCAGTCTCTAAGAATAATTCGTTATAGGCTACTAACAACAATGTTTTCAACACCCAGTTTCCCTTCAACATTATAACATTGGTGTAAATACCCACTGCAGTGGTAAGATTGTATCAGAAGGTGGGTAAAAGGGACTGTCTGTCTGTCTGTCTGTCTGTGTATCCATCCACTCATCTACAAATAGGGAAGACTCCGAATGTAAACACAGTCTAAAGATAACAGGCTAAAGTCAACAGCAGTACTGTCGACTGTGGAAGCAGGAAACTCTCTCATCCTCCAGTCACCCCCCTCCCTCTACAAACACACACACACATACACACACACACACATGGTGGTTCGCAGTAGACAGGAGATGAGAGGAGAATAGCAGGATGGATAAGTAGGGGAGGACAGGAATACAGGATGTGAGTCAGGGATGGAGAGAAAGATCTCCATGGAAAAAATACAATGGAAGAGTGGAAGACACTGAAGAATAATGATACATAACAGAAGCGAGAGGAAGTCAGAGACAATATGGGTGAAGGAACGGCAGGAAATATCGCCTTTGTCCTGACAGTCATGGAGATTTACGTTTTTTTGAGGATTCCAGCTCCTCTGAAGATAAAAGTCCCACATATTTTCTAACAATTGATGCTTCTATCGAACTTTATCTGGTTGATTCCTGATAATAGAGGGGTTGCACTTTGGAAGGAGGGTAGGGATATGTGGAATACAGTCATTTCCACAACAAAGAGGGAGGTGAGAACATGACTGAGGTGGAGAGAAAGGGATGAAAAAGAAATAAAACTGACATAGAAAAGGTGAATGAGATAAAAGTCTGACCTCTCCAGACGACTTGGGTCACAGGACAGGGGGTGTGTTCCTGGCTTGCTATTGGTCAGCGCCTCCCAGATGGTCACCTAGAAAACAAAGAGGAGGCCATACGGGAAGTCAGAGAGTGCGCGCGTAGGCAGAAAACATCACAGATAAAGTGATAGGGGTGCATGTAAAACAACAGGATCCTCCCTACAGGCTTTTTCCCCTGTTAATGTATGCTAAAGTACCTCTCACAGCACAGCACAGAGACAGCCAGCCGGCTTGATTATGATTTATGAACTGATTGAACGTAAACTAGATTGATCCTGGCCCTGCTTCTTTACTACACATAAGCAATATTAATACTGATACTGCTATTAATATTGATAAACTCGTGTTAAAAATAAAGGTTCACATTTATACGGCACCTTTAAACACTGACTAATTTGGGCTTGGTGCTTTTGGCTTTGAACAAATTTTACATGCTACTAGTAATCAATTTCAACAGACTAGAATACGGTTTTAGATTTATTTTCTACCCTAGGCTGGATAACCAATTGCCCTAGTAATTTGAGTAACTTCATATTTATTTAGTAATATGCACAAATAAAGCTAAATTAACAACTGAAATGGTAAGGGTCCTAAGCTGCATTCTGCACTTTATACTCAATCTTGAGGACCTGTCTTATAATCTAGTCTTAATGTATTTAATATTTATATGTTGTGGGGGGCTCAAGTGGGGCCCACAGCTTTGGCCCTGCTCCTACCTTCTATCAAGTCCTTTTTCCATTTCTGTGCACTATAAAAATCAAGTAAGAGGACTTCAAAATTTAGTTGAGATAGGCCACATGACAGTGAGTATTTATTTATTCTTGTATTACAATTATATCTATTGTAATGATATATGATGTTCAAGTGATAGCAGCAACTCTGACATCCAAGACATAAGAGTCAAAACTACTTCAGTGCAAGAAATGAACAAAATCCTCTTCCCCTTGAATGAATAAACTTTCATGACACTGCAAGCTAGGTTTCACATTGTAGTAAAATTAAAGGAAACTGTGAATGAACTGTGGGAAATTACAACCGGACGGTGTGTTTTAGAAGATGACGGGCTGTAGTTAATGCTGCAAAACATGCAGTGTCAGCACTGTAGTCCTTTAACACCTGTCCTGCTTCAGAATTAGAGTTGTAATTAAAAGTGTCACCACCTTTTCATCGCTGTTTAAAGCAGCGGTACAATAGCTCAAGACAGCAGGCTGCTGAGGATGATCGTACAAACTACTGCACAAATCCTCAGCCGCAACCTTGCCTGGTCTCCTCTACCTCCTCCTCCTCCTCCTGCATCCAAGCTAGGAAAACTCTGAGGATGTTCTCTGACCTTTCTCAACAAGCCTATTTATATTTCTCTCTATGTACCTCTGGAACAAGGCCAAGGACTATCAGGACCTGGATCTCAGGGATTTCAAAACAGTACCTATCCTGAGGCAGTGTTGAATGTAATGGGTCTGGGTTCCACACATTACAGGCAATTTATTCTACTTATTGATTTTACTTCAGTATTGATTGTTTTTATTTTGAAACTGGTCGCTTTTTTCTTGCTTCAGTGTGTCTATTTGTCTTGGTCTTGCTTGACTTATTGGTGAATTTACTGCTGTAATTTATACTGGGTGGTTTATAGGGGGAATATGATGCACCTGGGTTGATATAGCAACATGGCTCTGAGAATCTTGAAAACTTCATGTAAAACCTTTTGCAATCTGTGCTCATTAAGTGCTTTACAAGGAGACTCAAGGTGAGATAATTGACCATTAGTTAAGCCCCTCCCCTGAGCAGTAATTTTCCAATTATAGCTGAGCAACTGAAATTAGGCACGGTAGGTCTCTGCAAGCTTTGGACTTCTCATTGTCTCATGCTAAAGTGGTGTGCATGTGGCCACAGTAGGAGAGATACTCCGCATTTAAAGGACCAGTGTGTAGATTTAGAGGCATCTTTCAGTGTAGTTGCAGATTACATTGCCCTCGTTCCTAGTGAGGAGAAACTATGATGGCTGTGAAACTCACTAAAAACAAGAAAGGCCCTATCCAGAGCCAGAGTCTGGTTTGTCCGTTCTAGGCTACTGTGGAAACATGGTGGTTCAACATGGCGGCCTCCGTAGAAGAGGACCTGCTCCCTCTGTAGATAAAAGTGCCTCATTCTAAGGCAACACAATTCTTATTTTCATGGGGAATAATACACTAATTAAGAAATGATACCCATGGATATTTTATTCCAGTTCCGCCGATAGAGCCTCCTAAATGTTGCACACACAACTGCACCTGTTGGCTTACATTTGCAATTAACTAGCTTACAACCTGCAGTTGTAACAGAGCATCATCCAAAGCCAATGATAATTTGATTAGCTATCTACATTACTACCTGGGATTACAAGTTAATTAAAAATAATAATAATGAAGAGGCATGTAAACTCAACAGACAAACTGGGTTATTTCTGCGTAACATTCTGATCTTACATTTTCTCTTATAATGCTGATAGTACTATAGGCTAACTTGTTAGTAACTGTAAGACAAGAACAATGCAATTTTTTATTTACATGCCTTCTACTGGTATTTAAGATGCCTTTTACAGAGTTCTTATTTTAAAATGAGTCAGCTAGATACATTATAAAATCAGCTGGTGACAGAGAGCTATAGCTGTTAAGCTTCTAGTTGTCATTTCAGCCGATAAAATGAATGGTCAGCGGATAGAAAAGAAAAGCCTACTTTTATCTTCTTCTGTCTGAATGTCACTGTTGCAACAATTAAGATTTCTGAATGGTAAATTTGCCCAAATTATCACAGTAAACTCCATTATGAGCCAAGTGAGAATGGAAAGATTGACAGGCGTAGCAGCAGTAACCATGGAGGGGGCGGGGCTAAATTAACATTCAGTTAAATAAGATCTTGTTTTAAGATGTCTGACTAGTTTTTCTTTCATATCAGAACAGAAGAGGATCTCTCAGGAGCGTCACAGTCAGCCCACCTGATCATATTCTGAGCCGGCCTCCAGCAGACTCTGCTGTATGGCGAACTGCAGCAGATCCTCCTCCTCCTCCCTCATGCTGTCTCTCTGTTTGCCTCCTAGCATGGTGTATCCAGGTGGGGCCTCAAACACGCATGGGGGAATCTCTCCACCTCGACATGACACTGCAGCACACAGGGGAAAGTTAAAGGGCAAGAGACGGGAAGGAGTGTCAGCTAACAGTGTAGGAGATTATACTAGACTAAAGGAGGAGAACAGTAAAGGAAAAACAGGACAGAGATTTCAGATTTATTAGGTAATATTCCCACCATATTATTGTTGCCAAAATATTTCCATTACTCAACTGTGTGTATTTCCATAGGACTATAACTCAGTGTAGAGCATTTCTCTAAGATAGCATCAAGGATTTCCAGAGAGGTTCCTTCTGAGCGGTCACACAATAAATTCTATCTCCCCTCAACATGGCTGCAGATTTAAACCTGCCCGTTGGGATCCTGATCAAGTGATAGGATGATTAAAGTAAGCCATAATCTCACACGAAACACAAAGAACACAACCTTGCATCCACCATCAGTGATAAATACCACTCATAACTCTATCAGGCAGCGGTAAACTCCGTTTGTGAAGTGAAGTACGGCCCAGGTTCTGCAGTAAATGTTAGTGGAGTCATTTTATCAGCTGAGGAAGAAGACATAAGAAAAGATGACACTGTAGAGTGTATGGGAGTGTGCTCTCACTGGTGGAGCTGGAGCTGGAGACGCTGGAGGAGTCACTGCCTGGAGATGGGGTGTCTATCCTCGGGGCGTCCCTCTGTCCGTCCCCCTCCACCCCGACTTCGTTGTCGGCACGGACGCCCGTCCCCTCCTCGCAGCCGTTCAGGTTGCTGAAGGTGATCCTGGCGTTCAGGATGTGGTAGAGAGGGATCTCTGCAGGGAGTGGAGAGAAATGGAGCAGAAGATGACATTCGTATTGCTATCATTAAGTTATGTGTTCACTTCTTGTGTCTTTGCATCAGTCTCATCATCCAGTTAACCATGCGTGTCCTTATATCAGTCCTGTTATTTTTAGAGATCAAATTTGCAATCTTTTCTGTCCTTTTTACTCACTCTCTCCCTCTGTCTTCATTCCTTTCCATCCATCTGTGTATCTATTTATTCACTTTTCATTCTCCCATCATCCCCTTTATTTAACCAGCCATCATTTTAACCTCCCACCCTCCCTCCTTCCATCCATCTCACTCTCCCAGCTCTCACCGATCTTGACAGGGAAGCCAGGCGGCAAGCGCAGAGTGATGAAGTCACGCAGCTTAGCGAACAGGGCGTTCGAGATCGCCATGAGATCAATGATAGGCACAACTTGTTCCGCCAGGGACAGGGGGTGGGACTCACACAACCACAACTTGGCTTTAAACCTGGAAACAAAAACACACACACACACAGACACACACAGGGAAAGAGTTTTTTAATGAATATTACCAAATACAAGTTGACTTAAGTATAATTTAGGCAATTTATGTTGTTGTTCAAGCCATTAGTTCTATTGCCGGAGGTAAACAAAGCCACTGATTGCATCAGCTAACAGTGACTGTCCACAAGCAGCTGAGTCGTGTTCAAATTAAGGCCAATCAATGCTTATTTTTTCTCTGAAACCTCGAACACTTCTTCCTCATAATGGCATGTCACTTTTTATTTCATTCTTTGGGCCTTTATTGCCTTTAATTGATAGTAACAAGAAAAGGGGAGAGAGCAGAGATGAGACACAGAAAAGGGCCACAGGTCAGATTCGAACCCTGGGCCACGGCAGCACCAGACTAAGCCTCAGTAAATGGGGTGCCAGCTCTACAGGTGAGCTATTCAGGCAACAGATTGACAACAGCCAGAGGAACAGAAGACAGATGACTGAACGGCAAGTCGGCAGGTGGATGACAGAAGTAGGAAATTGAAAACCAGTTTAATTTGCTACATTACAAAACAATTACATAAAAAGCTAACTGAGAGACACTGCAGGGCTCCTTGTTTTAATTTTCAGTTTTGTTTCCTTTGGTTCAAGAGTCAAATAGAAATTATGTATCATTGTGAGTTATTGTTTGACTCTCCACCAGCCTTGCAGAAATCTACTCATCAAGTGTGTGAATATGTGTGTGTGTGTGTGTGTGTGTGTGTGTGTGTGTGTGTGTGTGTGTGTGTGTGTGTGTGTGTGTGTGTGTGAGTCTGTCTATTCTCTCCCGCTCAGTTTGTCAGCTCTGGCACTTGGCAGTGAGTTTGGAGGACGACTGGACTGTATGCATGGCTGCCTGTCTGTTTTCCTGTCTGTCCGTGTCACCTCTGGGTCTTGGTGGTGAGCTGGCATGGGTGGCCAATGTCCCTCTGAGTTGGTGACGAGCCGGGGTTGAAGTATTCCTCGGCAGTCAGCGCAGCAGGGTTTGTCACCGCAGGACCCGACATCTGGGTCACCAGGGCCTGCAAAAATAGAATAAGGAATTTAAAATAGTCCTGATGTAACCGCATGTTGCCATTTTAAAGCTTTTTACTGATCCACAATCAGATTGACCATGTCTGCAGGGGTCAAAAGGATTGTTAACCATCCCAGTAACTCAAAGATAACTTTACAAGGTGCAAAGATTTCTGGCCTTTAAAACTCACTTTCTTTGCTATTGTCTGTTGTGGAACAAAAAACTAACCACCTACTGGGATTTCAAGGCTTTCCTCTTACCTAGTGACATTTCCAACAGCTCAAGGAAAGAAAAACTTGAGAAAAAATGACAAAGCAGTTTTCTTTCTAGCAATTTACATCCTTACTGCATCCGTTGGTTCACTGCTCTAATTAGTAGCTCACTGTCAACTATTAAGTATGACTTTAGTAAATCTTTCAAAGGTAAGCCACCATTACTGGAGGAGAGGAGAGGCTGACAAATATTTGTGGATCTTGTTGCGTTCCACTCCAAATGCAGCCAATTCATCACAATCACTTTATAGACAACATCATAGCTTTACAGTTGCACAAAGTATCTGCAGAACGCACGTCAAACCAGAAGAAAAAAAAAAGGACGGGGTGCGTGTCTCAGTGCTGTGTATAGAGGGTACAGAGGCATGACGTTGAAAAGAGCAGAGGCGACAGTGAGGGGGAATAAGACAGAATACAGAAAGAGGAGAAGGAGGGAAGTATGAGTCATAGATGCTCTCCAGCAGAAACAAATTAAAAAACATAATCAATATTTGAGAGCAGGTTGGAGCCTCTGAGTTACTGTTTTACTCTGCAGGCATGATCTCCTGTTGACACAGTGGACTCATTCATACACTCAGTGTCCATCCAAAGAGGGGAGGTGATGATGCTAATATTGAAGATGATAATTCAGTCACGAGGGCAGTGATTATCACAATACCGATTATGATCCCTATTGTCGCTACGAGTCCAATCGAAACGCCAGAACCAATGAATCACAGCTGTTCCCAGATCAACCACAGTGTATATGAATTTATTAGTTTGAGTTTTAAAAGATTTTTCCTCAACCCTAATCCTTCATTTAAAGATAATACTGGAAAATCCCTGTCATGTGTTAACATCTAAATAAACTGTCTACTTACCCCGTTGTTAGGCCCCATGTGCTGCTCGGCAATCCCAAGGAAATTCTGCAGTGGAGTCTTCCCACCTGCTCAGAGACACACAGCAGTGATGAGTTATGCTGAGGCAATAGTCACAGTGAGCATGGGCTCATTCATCTCCACTGCAATTGTCTGCAGTGTCATTTTGCTCTACAGTGTTTTGCTCCAGATAACTTATTGGATTACATCGAGCTTTTGTGTTGTGGTCTTATCATCTACTAAGAGCTGGCAGGAAATGAACAGAATACTGCACTGGATTGAACTGAAGTTATTATGCTTTTAAGCAGCAAAATCAGAGTAGAGTTACTCCTAAATAGGTTCTAAATATCAGTGGATCTCCTGGTTTCTGAAACTAGAATTTTTTGATAAAACACCTGAAAATATCTATTAAAAGAAATGCATACTGTGCAGTCAGTATAACTGTCTTCAGTGTATCTCTGGACCCTGAACATCATCTTTCTACTGCTACAGCTACAGCTACCTGAGTGTACACATTGTTATTATACAGTTTGTACTTTATGCACAGCAATGTGTGTACATTACTGTCACCATTAGACTGTAAATACATCAAAAATATGAATGTGATGAAAACCACACTCTGAAAATGACAAGTGTTTTGAAGAGCCTTTAGGGATCTTCCGACTGCAGCAGTAAGAGAACCGCAATAGGGTCTTGGAAGAAAAATACCTTTTTTTTTAGAGTGACAAGCTGTCTTCTTTTGATCTTAAAGATCCCCTCTAGACATGTATTAAGACATATAAAAATGTTCTGCTTGGAATAATAATTTGAGTCTGATATGGTTTTCATAGTTTTACCTTTTTATAATTCTTACAATTACATCTATTCCCTCTCCTTTTAAACATCCAGGATCTATGAATATGCAAATGTAAAACTTAACTGGATACAATATGTCTCCTACTTCACTGAAAAGTCTAATCTCAGTGTATATGCACTGGAGATCTCAACACACTTGTAACACAACACACTGTAAATTAGTTAATTAGTTAGTAAACTAGTTGTGATGTCACAAAATCCTCCTCGTACATACACACATCAAACTGACATTTAAGATGAGCACAGATAAACATCCCCCCTTCAGCAGATTAATCTGAAAACAGCCTTATTGTGTCAAACACGTACATCATCCTGCACAGTGAAGGTCAAACATCCAGGTGAAGTGACAATAAGCAAAACACATTTGTGAGTGGAGGGGGACTTTAAAGTGTCTGAGAAACTGGCTCAAATCTAAAGTATTTCTCTACAACATTAATAATCCATAACTAAATAAGAAACAATCAAGGTAAAAAAACATCTTTAGGTAATGTTTATTAAGAATATAACTCTCAGATAATACTGTGTGGGTGTGATGAGACAGGTTAACCAAACAACCCACCAACTGTCGTCACATTTAGATTCATATGTTGCTAAATCCTGATTGGTGCATTGTACAGTCACGTCACCTTTTTTCAACCGAGCCCTGCTCACTCCAAACCAATGAGAACAGAACTGAGGAAAACACAATCAGCCATCCCTCATGTGAAATAACCAAAACTGTTACTGCGGAAAATAATGGCTTCGTGTAGGATCCCATCACTCACAGCAAAACGATTATTTAGAAAATAAGATTTCCAGGAACCCACCATGAAGGAACGCTCTGTTTTTTAGAGTGTATGAGGACACAAACAGCTGCTGCTCATTTAGATAAGACATAGATATGAGCAGCAAAGAAAACATGACCAGTTTCTTAAAGTGTGTCTTGCATTCAGACAGGACTGGTGCTGCGGTTTTCCTCACTAACCAGAAACGGAATGCTAAATGCAATGCAAAGGTCCATCTGTTAGAGTTAATGACAGTGGTGTTGTGGTGTGGTTGATAAGACAAGTATCCACATTTCGACCTTCAGCCAGCTGATCCGTCTACAGCTGCTGCTTGACTCGTGATCCAGCGTGTATGTGACTCTTAGAATAGCTATTTCTTTTTACAGTGTTTACAAAATGATGAAACGCAGCACAAGGGAAGGGCAAATGGAGTGAGTCACTCATTCAGGAGTCATTGTAGCGCTTCCAAGAACACTTCCCTCCTGCATATTAGCAGAGTGCAGATGGGGATTGTGACCTGGGAGAGAGCGAAGCCCCTCGGAGGAGTGTGTGATGGTTGATCCTGGCTGACAGCGACAGTCCAGGGAGGGAAGCCTGCTTATCCTGTTTGATTTATGATCTGAACCAGAAAACGAGACAGAGCCGCCGAGTGAACGTTACGGGCTGTTAGCCGGAGCCTCAGGGTGATCTCATCGAGCTCAGGTGAGGTGGATTACTCATCAGCGACTGTTTTTTTTTATTAGACATGTCGTATTACTTAGGCCGGGCTTTACAGCGGCACAGAGGAGATAATGGAGAAGTTGAGCTGCTGCAACTGTGATGCACCTGCACATAATGAACACCTTGATGATGTCTAAGAGGTGACACTGTCTAATGCTCATTTGGCACTGAGGTTCGGTTGACAAATTAAAGTGACTTACCTTTTGTCTTGTTCTTGTTCTGGTCTGACAGATGGTCAGTTCTGGTCCTGGTGATCAGCTCCACATTGGACGCTGCGTATACCTGAAAGAGGAGGAGACAATTAGCTTTTGTGTTCTGCCAACATTGGCTTTACACTCTCATTGTTTGGGACCCCACTGCTGTACGTGTAACGATAATTACAAAACTAACCATTTATTTTCATTTAAATATTTTTTCTTTTCTTCCGACCTAATTAAAACCCAATATGTAGAAAAGTATTGAAAGGGTAACCATTCCATTGCAGATTCGACAAATGTGACAGAAATGAGCATAGAGCATTGTTATCATACCAAATCAAGGAAATATTTCATGTTTTCTATGTCATATGGACTGTGCATTAACAAATTATGTTAATTTTGTTTGCCAAAAGACCTCTTATCAACCAACTCCAATAACAGAAATTTATGATTTGGGAGGGGTAGTATTGTATAACAATTCAATTCATTTCAATTTTATTTATATAGCGCCAATTCATAACAGAAGTTATCTCAGGACACTTTTCAAATAGAGCAGGTCTACACCGAACTCGTTATAACAAGTACTGTTGACACCAATCACATACTGAAAATCCAGTGTATTGAACCATGCCTCACAACCAGGGTCTCTGAGACCCCAAACAGAAGTAAAACATAATTTTCACTTCAAAATCATGTTTAAAACCAATTCTTATAAAATTAGGAAAAGTCATGTGGTGAACCTGTAATGTGTAACTTTACACCCCTGGGTCCTAGCCTGCAACACACAGGCCAACAGTCCACAGCAGAATGCTGGAATTCCTCACTAGTGACCACAAAAAGAAAATACTGATTAAAAATTGAGCAGGCTGCTGATTCTGTGTTTACACTGGATGGCGGACAAGCGAAAGGAAGAGCTAAAAAGCTTCCAGGAGGAGAGCAGCTCAACGGGAGTTGTCTGTTTATGTTTGTGACTCTAAATCAATGATGCAGAAAATAGATGCTTTTCAGGCCACCGTATTTTACTGTAGAAAGTGTCTGAAGTGCTTTTATAAACCAATAGTGACAGATGGTCCTTCGTGTCTGACACTTGTCTCCCATCGATCCCTCCAGGGGGTCAAGAAAACAAATGGGGTCAAGGTAATGCATGTGTCTGAGCAACACGCACTTCTTTTTTTAAACTTAATTTGATGGGCCATCTGGTCGTTTCTGTGTTGAAGAATTTTCCACATTTGAGGGCAAAGAATTCATGCTTTAACTGTTGTGCTTAAATTAATACTCTTTAATCTTAAAAGGGCAGGTTTCAGTAATTGATTCATTCATTATTTAAATATCTAGAGGGTTATGTCCTCAAAGGTCCAAAGCAAAGGTTTTAAAATAACTTTGGGAGTGATTCATTCTGGAAATTAAGCTCTTCAAGTAAAGTGGACTTTCAGGAAATATCAAATTGAGATCTGACAGCAGTGGTTTCTCTGGGCAGTGTGAGAGATTAGTGGTCTGTCTGAGAAGCCTGTGCTCTACCTTGGCTTCATATCCATTCACTGTCTCAGTCTTCTCGCTCCTCCAGCCCAGTATGCCCGTCTTATTCCTGCAACAGAGATTCAACACATGCCCCATCAGTTCCCTGTGGTCTCGACTTCCAATCAACGTATACAGCTGCATCACCTCTGTTGGTGTAGATTATTTGCCCGTCCCAAGCAATCTGCAGATATGTACCTGAGAGAAAATCATGAATATAATACATAGGAGAGTCAAATCAACCATCTCCCCTTGGATTGCAAGTCACAGATCTTTTCTCTACAATATGCAGCCTGAAAAGATTGCAGCCATTGTCCTTGTTTGTTGTCAGTGAAGATCAGCAGTTCAGTGTGCAATTAGGAAGTCTGCCTAGAAGTTAGTGAGGCATATCCCATCTTCATGATCTATTCCAATCATTGTACAACTCCTTTTTGGAACGAAGCACAGAAAGTGGATTTTCAAGGATGCTCTTTCTGTATTAGACCATATATTTATGAAGTGATAGAATTTATAAATAATATAATATATTTGAAACTGTTGCACAGTAATTTCCCTCGGGATAAATAAAATAAAGCTTCTTGAATCTTGAATCTTGAATCTATAAATTATATCAGGTATTTTTTAACACATGTCAAATGTGTAATTTTGGAAAAAAGGTTTTAGGGAATTTTTAGCCATGCTAGTGGTGTGGCTCTCTGTTGGTTAAGTCAGCCTATTTGGTCCACACAGAATTATCTTAGCAACGTTTGGATGGATTGACATGAAATTTTGTACAGACATTCATGATCCCCTCAGTATTAATTGTAATAACCCTGGTAATCCTCTGACTTTTCATATAGCCTATTTAGTCAAATTTGTTTGGTTTATGACTAAAAGACCATCTCATAGCCAGAGGAAACACGCGATACCCTTGCAACATTATATATCACATCTTGACAGCACTATATGATCTTATGTCTGTGTGGCACCCCAAAGCCCTGCCTTAGCATTGGCCTGACCACATAACTGCAAACATAATTGAATTCCCATCAGCCTCAGCTGTAGCCATGTTTTGTGCTAATTAGCTAATGTTAGTATACTATCACGCAAAATTAAAATAGTTATCATGGTAAAAATGACCTGCAAAACATCAGAATGCATAATGGCGTTATAGCATGTAGCTAAAAAGTGGTGGTATGCCTAAGAACTGCCGCACAGAGCCACTACCACAGCTTTAGACTGTCCTGTTGTCCAACGAATCAATGTCAAACAAAGTTATGTCTGAATCTTGAAGTTATATCATAGCTCAATTACAGCGGGTTCAGTAAAACCAGCAAAACTGCAGTGCTGTAGTTTTTGTGCATGGCTGCGTAAAGACGTATTAACTCCAGGGGTAGATGTCCTGTCTGTGGTGCTTGACAAAGTGGTTTGCTCTAAAGCATCATAAATAGATTATTGGCATGTAGACAGGAGTGCTGACCAAGGGAAATGAACAGAGGTGACACTTAGGTACAAGTCTGACAGGGAGATGATTACCCCCCCCCAAAAGAAAAAAAAACACCACCTCTCCCTGCTCACTCACGTTTTCCTCTCTGTCTTCTTGCTTTTTATCTGTTAACATTCATTTCCTGTTTCTGGGTCCCTTTCCAAAAGTCACCTATCTATCACTGTGTCTCTCTGCAGTCTATTTTTCTCCCCTTTCTCCCCCTGCCTACAAAATCATTGACTCCCCCCTTTTGCCTTACGTATTGTGCTTTTTTCCCAAATAGTCTTGTCTCATTAATCTTTATCTCCCTGTTTCTCTCTGCATGTCTTCTATTCCCCTTCATCCCTCTCTGTCTCTCTGTCCCATCCCTCTCCCTCTAAATCTCTCCCTTCGTTCTCTTTTTCGTTTCATTTTCTCCCCTCTATCCCTCTCTGTCCAAAACTTACCTTGTTCTGTCATCCCTCTCTCTTTCTCTCTGTCACATCAGTCTTATCTCACTTCCTGACTAGAATAAGATGAGTTTTGTCCTTTATGCCCGCTTCTCCCTGCCTTCTCTCCTCCTTACCGTTGCTTTTCATCTATGTGTGTCTATGTCACTTTATGTGAAACTGAGCTGTAAAACTGTACCATACTGCATAATAAAAAGCTCCGAAATTGACTGCTCACAAGCCATCTTTTTCTCCCTCTTCCTCTAGTCTCCCTATGTCTTGTCTGCCTTTTCCATGTCTTTTTCGTTCTGCTATCTGCCTCTCCATCTCCATGTTCACTGGAGTGTTGAGCTTTTTTGAAGTGGCCTGAGCCTGAAGCCTGTGTGAAGCCATATCACGCTTACTCCTGACACATTTTTATGGCAATTCAGTCATTTGAGTTCACAGGAGACACAAAAGATCAAGAACAGAGTATTTTTGGTTATATAAAAATACAATGACTTAAAGCAAGCCGTTTTAACAGTATGTGGCTACAATAGTCAGAAGGGGTTTATTTGTCAGGGACAATATAGCCTACTAGCAGACAAGAGAAAAAATGTAAATAATGAATATGTTGATTTTCGTCGTCCAAAGATGCCCCCAAAATAGAATAAAAATAGTAAATACTAAACCAGTGCGAACAGTGTAAAGTAGTAAACTGACTCAGTAAAGTCAATTACAAAGAACTATCTAGCTGCTAACTTTGCTAACTTTAAGTATCCCTGAAGCAGCAAAGCCTCTGAGAGCATTGAAATGCGCAGGGGTGTATAATATTACTTTCCATCTTTTCTTTTGTAACAGGAAGATTCTGTTATTTTTTTCTTTCAAGCACTACACAATCTCTCTTTTTATACTATAACATGATTTGTTTAATACACTTTCATTACAGGAACATTTCCCCTTGGCTCTATTGCAGATATATCAGTAATATGTAGTGTTCAATGAACTCTAGCAATTAGTTGTACACATGTTTTGTTGTCTCCAGTTGCCCCACTATTGCTGCTTCTGTTAGTGTTTTCCTACACTGTCTGAAATGCATTTTGACAGCCACCAGAGAACGTGCCTGAACTTATTCCACTCAGCTGTGGGTTGTAGTGTAGGAGACAGCAACAGTGAAAGAGTGACAAAAATTCACCAGCAACAACAAAAGAGTGATTTTCTCCACTCAGGAGGGAAAAAAAAGCCAGCATTCAGAGCAGAACATGTCCTGTGGCTGACTTGCATCGTGTTGTACTGAGGCTACTGTAAATTATTATTTTGCTTGTTCTATGGGAGATTTCTTCCTGTGTGATTGCTGAACATGGATGCAAAATGGCATTCTAGAAGGTGTTATAAAACACCCTCTTGATGTTTCAGATGTTCTGTTGGTTCTGTTGAGTTTAAGTTTGCTTAGTTATTTAGTTTTATTTTTTTTATTTGAGTTCAGTCATTCCTGGAAAATGTCTTCATTCACACCCAACTCAGGGTATATCTCATATCTTATAGACTACTGTGTACCTTAACTTCACATCCTGTTTACTAATATTCTGGGTATATCAGTATTGCATCTGACCTCTCGAAGGCGATGTTGCGGGTGTCCAGCTGCGTGGTCACCACGGGGGCCGACAGCCTGGCCGCTACCTGCTCGTCGCTGGGCTGCACCGCACCCAGAAGGCCCAGACCGGCGGCTGTGCTGCTGCAGGCACCGCCATTCACCCGGCCAGGTGAGAGTGCTGTGAGGGATGAGACGCACATGGTCTCGCGGAACACCAGCTGCCTGTCATGGTCAACCTCCATCACCTCTGCGCTGGAGTCTGAGAGGCAAGAGGGTGACAGACAGGAAGAGAGAAATGAGGGCAACCTTAGTGAGGATGAGAGAGGCAGATATGAAATTGAGAGTGGGAAATGATTACAATACAAACATGCCAATAAGGCTACAAGACAAAAACATGCATGTACATGTAACGAAAAGTTGGGGGGATGATGACTGATGTCAAGATGCTGCAGATTGACAAAGGTACGAGCAAATTAAATATCCTGGCAGGCAGGTCCAGAAGAAAGTAACACAAAGAGAGAAAACATTATGCAGACTCAAAAAAGTCCAGGAAAAAGGTCAGAAGAAGAGGAATAATTAAAAGTGGTGAGAGGAAGAAAGATAAAAATAAAAGGAAGAACTGGGTGAAATAATGCAGAGAGGAGCCAGTGGAGAATTGACTGAGTAGAAACAGCTGTGCAATGAGGCAACAAAGAGGCAGGGGAAGAAGGAGCCTGGTCACACCTGCACCAGCCTCTGTGAATATTTGCTCCATCTCACATTCACTTCAAATGAAGCCTGTGTGACTAACAAGAATGTGTTTCTTAAAAAAAAATCACAACCACAATCACATAAGTAATTTTTTGGTGCTGAAAGTGAAGTTGTTTCATGGGACTGAATGCAAATGTGGATGGAAACCCAGAAGACACCGGGGAAGAGGAAGGAAGAAAAGGAGGTAAAGAGACGCAGCTAAAGACAGAGTGACAAACTTACTATAAATTGACAAGCCTATGCATAATTTGGTCTCATATCTTAAATGATTTTTTTTTGGAAAGATGCATATTCTCTTTCTTGTTGAGAGTTAGATGAGAGGATTGATACCATCCTCTGTTTGGTAAGCTCCTGCCAGCAGCTTAGCAGGGCACAAAGTCTGGAAACAGGGTGAAACAACAAGCCTGGCTCAGACAACCAAATCCACCTACCAGCACCTCTAAAGCTCACTCATGCAAGTCTTTTTCTTGGCAAGAAAATGAATAAATGGTAAAAGGACTGTACTTATATAGTGTCTTTCTAGTCTTTCAACCACTCAAAGCGTTTTACACTACATGTCACATTCACCCATTCACACACTGATGGCAGAGGCTGCTATGCAAGGCAACTGCTCATCAGTAACTAACTTACCCATTCACACGCACTCACACACCAATGGCACAGCATCAGGAGCAGCTTGGGGTTTAGTATCTCGCTCATGGACACTTTGACATGCACAAGGAGGAGCCAAGAAACGAACCATTAGTGGACGACGCGTTCTACCTCCTGAGCCACAGCACAAAATACTTTCTTTTCTTTCGCAGTTCAGTCAATATTATTTTATTTGTTGTATTGTATGAAATACACTAGTAACACAGGACACTCTCAAGTCTAGAATTTGATTTCTGACCTTGTCCCTTGAAAATGAAGCTCCGGTTTCCTCTCTGCCAGGTCATCTGTTCAAAGCCCATCAGGGTGGTGTCAACACGGAGACACTGGCCACTCTTCCACACTCTGTAGGTGTCACTGGGGCAGATACGAGACACCAGGGGCACTGAGGACAAACACAGACAAAATGTTAAACAAACGTTGCCATTTTTAGATGAATATGTAAAGAATTGAATGCAGCAGTTTTCTCTCTGATGTTTTCATTTGATTCATTGTCAGATCTTGGGCTCAGTACTCTGATGAATCCATTATAGGAGACACATTTCTGTGGTTGTATGTAACAACAAAAATATACGCACAAAAACAATTAGTCACATGCCTAGAGACTAATGCTGAAAATACATCCACTTATAGTTTTGTAAAGCAAGATCTTAAGATAAAAAATTATATAAAAAAATAAAGCACAAGCTGTTTAACTCTGAAACCAAAGCCAGACATAAATTTTGCCAGGCGGGAAGTGTGTGAGTATCAGTGTCCAGTACAACAGGAAGAAACAGGCCTCCCCAGAGGGAGATGATGATAACATGATTAGTTCTGACTGGTCGGTACTGGACTGCTTTACTGACTGGAATGACTCAAAGACTGGACTCACCCCAGCTGGTAAACTCCCATTTCATCTCCACATAGAAGTCCTGGGCCTGGACAGAAAGAGGCAGAGAGAGGAGGAAAAGATGGGGGGGGCAGCAGGCATTGATAAAGAGGATGATAGAGGGAGAGAGAAAGAGAGAAAGAGTCATGGAGATAGAGAGTGATGAATTTAAGGATGGAAAGATGGAGAGAGAGGAGAAAAGCAAAGTGGGGGGAAAGAAAAAGAGGGAGAGTGAACAAACACAGTGGTACTGCTTCATTGTCTCTTCCAAAGATGGGGGGATTGGCACAGAGAAGTGGTTGTGTATATGTGTGTGTGTGTGTGTGTGTGTGTGTGTGTGTGTGTGTGTGTGTGTGTGTGTGTGTGTGTGTATGGGTTAATAATAGAACTGATAGATTGATGGGTGTAGAGGAGGATGATGTGGATGAGAGCAGCAGCAGACGAAGAACGGCAATGTGTGCTTGAGTGTGAGTACTCATTGTCGTTTTCAAAGTGTGAGGGTGTTGTGTCTACCATGTGGGTATGCTAGAGTGTGTGTGTGTGTGTGTGTGTGTGTGTGTGTGTGTGTGTGTGTGTGTGTGTGTGTGTGTGTATGTGTGTGTATCAGGGAGGGAGCCAGGTGGAGCAGATACACAGGAAGACAGAGTGTGTGAAGGCAGTTCTCTGCATCTCTGCCACTGTTCTCTGCAGCTCTACTGCTGCAGCAGCTGCATCACTTTCCTGTCAGGATTATAACCATTAACCTTCAGGCTCTCCGGCCTCGCCTTGTAAAACACTGCTGTTGTGCCTTTAAGCATGGCACTCCTTTAGGGGAAAGCAATGACTCAAATTACCCAGACACAGAGGGTTTTTGCAACATGGAGACACATCCTTTGAGATTATTTTCCTTGTTGAATAGTAAACAAAGTTATTTATACCTTCAAACGAAAACAAGATTTTTTTTTATCCTAAAACAACGATGTAAATATGAAAAAGATCTACATTTCAAATGAATGCATCTCTGCTCACAAACCCCCTTGATGAGCCTTTGTAGTCTGTATATGTATATTTGTGTTTTGTTTCATGTATGTAATTTTTATGTAATTCTTGTTTTGTGTGTGTGTGTGTGTGTGTGTGTGTGTGTGTGTGTGTGTGTGTGTGTGCGGTCATGGGAGTGTCTTTTTCCATGTGTGCATCAAACTGTTTGTGTGTGTGTGTGTGTGTGTGTGTGTGTGTGTGTGTGTGTGTGTGTGTGTGTGTGTGAGTTTCTGTGTGAAATCCCACTTGGCGCAGTCGCTCCAGCAGAACGGGGATGCCCGCCAGTCTCTTGGCAGTCCTCTGGTAGTCACGGTAACGAAGCACGAGACGCACCAACTCCGGATCTCTGGTACTCACCGCCTCCTGAAGAACTGCGGAGAGAGAGAGAGAGAGAGAGAGAGAGAGAGAGAGAGAGAGAGAGAGAGAGAGAGAGAGAGAGATGGAGAGTAAAACAGAGCCAATCACTCAGACCTCATCTAAAATTTATGTACATGAGCAATTTAAGGGGGCAGTGAGAATTGCCCAAACTGAAGTAGGCCAAAGGAAAAGCTGGTACGACCAATTACTGCGGCTCGCCCATCATTCATCAGACCGCCACTTTGCTGCTAATCTTACAGGCTGTTGTACACTTATACACATTTATATAACGATTACCTTTCTCTTCCCGTATTAGCAAACGTGAGTAAAGGCTAACACACACACACACACACACACACACATATATATAAACACAGGCACAACCATCTAGATGTAGCTGGATTCTAATAATGAGTGTAATCTATTGCACCTACTGACAAGACACAGAAATCAGATTAGCAGGGACAAAAGAGGATTACTATGATACCCTGCAACCATAGACTCACAGAAATATCCATGACTATAACGCTTAATCCATCACCATCGAGACAAAGGAGCCTCACGTTAGATGCAGGGGAGTGACAGCATAAACAAGCAAGAACCTCAGGACGTCCATACATTTTCACAGTGCAGCAAGAAAGGGATGTCTGGCAGAAGGAACAGTTGTCATTTTTTTTGCAAAAGCGATGGTGATGATGAGTGTTTGTATTTTCCAAACCAATGTGAATCATCAAGTGGACAAAATTGTGTTAAACTCATCAGTAGCCATGTAAAATAGAGCCATTGGGAAATGTTGTGGGCCATTTTGCAAATATAGTATATAATATCATACATTATCATACATTATATAATATTATAGTCCTCTTATTGTGACCAAGGGGGTTACAACCAAAACATTTTCAGATCATACGTGGCTGGGTCTTTCACTGGGTTACTGCAGATGAAAAGGCCATGCTAAACTCTTGTGGTCACTTCCAATCATGTTCTTTACAAGTATAACATTTTCGGGGCATCTTTGAATAATAAAATAAAGCACATCACAGAATGTGCCAAGCCGCCTGTTTTTTTACTTCCAGTTGGTCCTCATTATAAGATTGACATCACTTGAACTTGTTAATGTCAAAGGTGCTAAAAGTAACATTTTAGGGACCAGTCTCACACCAAAACTGTGTAAAAATGTAACAGACCAGCCAAACCACTAGAAGATACCATGTCAGTGTCACGTTTTTCTTTGCCAAGATGTGAAAAGTACTTGCGTGAATGAAGGTGCAGTATAAAGAGCGACAAAATGTCGGGTGGATGAATGGGTCAAATAAACCCAGGAGACTGATGATCAGGTCCCGTGTGAAACCAAGAGACAACATCGACTTACTTTACCAAACGTACTTAACATAACTTACGATCTTATCCTGAACCTAACAAAGGAGTTTTATTGCCTAAACCTTATCAAACTGCAATCTCAGCAAACTGTAATAATATAATAATAAGAAATGATAGAAATACTATATTTTTATCCCCCAAAGGACACAAAAGAGTTTATGGGAAATGTTGGTCATAAGTTTTAACCACTGGTTAGAGCTAGAAACTACCAATTGTCTCCACCATAGTTTCATTGTTTTCTATAAATATATGTCAGTGTCATAATTACTTTTACAACAATATATTATTGTATAAAATGCTGCATGTAGCACCTTTAACTTGAAACACATCCCAACCCCCAACACACCATCCAATAATGCATTATGTATGCTGCACATTACACATGCTACCATAAAACTATACTCAGTTTCCTCCGCCAACACACACACACACACACACACACACACACACACACACACACACACACACACACTCACCGGTCCATCCATTGCGGTTCTCCTTGCTAACGTCAGCTCCTTGCTGCAGCAGGACCCTGGCACAATCCAGGTGGCCCAGCGTGACAGCCAGGTGGAGAGGAGTTCGACCCCGAGGGTCCAGAGACTCCAAATCCGTCTGGATGGAAGAAGAGGAGGAGAAAGAATAGAGAAGAGAAGGGAGAGAGAGGAGAGAAAGAGAGAACATTTAAAACAAGCAGTCGTAAAGGGTTTTTGGGGGGGAGTGAGTGAAAAGGGAAGAGGAGCAGACAGAGAGAGAAATGAAGTAGGAGGAGAGGAAATTGGGGTTAATTGCGTATCATTGTAGTGCTCTTCTAGCTCAGACAGAGGGGGAGGGAGAAGTAGAAAAATATAATAGAGACACAAGTGTGAAGATGACGACACAGAGATGGAAAGAAAGACAGTGACAGGTGCTAATTGATCTGTCACCACCCCAACATGGCTGGGTGCTGCACTCCTGTATCCCACTTATTTTCTGGGCTAGATGGCAGCCTCCTGTATGCTTTTCTTTAAATCTTGGGAAAGGTTCTAAAGTTCAAAGAAAGTTACCAGTTTGACTCCTGACAGAGAAATGTGAGCAGGTGAAGAAGCCCATGTAAGGAGCACAGTTCTCAACCGGCCATGCCATCGGGTAACCTGCAGCCTCTTTGTGACCAAAAATACATGTTTTTTTCTTCCTCTGAACATGTGATAGTGTGTAAGTCTGGCAACAACATTGATGAACAAAAAGCATAATTAATGCTTGAGGCTTCACTTCAGCTCCACTCTGTATTTAGAAGCATGTCAACAAGACCTCATTTGTCAGCCATATTACATTAGTGTTAATCTGTCATATCAATCATACCAGAGCTCGGTAATACAAAAATTAAAAAGAATCATTGCGGGGGCTCTCAGACATATCAAAAGACATTAGGTAGACATCTATGGATAATTTAAGATGTTATAGAATACTAACTTATTGATGTCAGTTTTTGGTGCATCTTTAAACAAATACATCTAAAGTGGGGGTATTAGGCCATATGACTATGTTTTTAATGCGTACGCATCATTTTGAGCCCTGACTCACGTAGTTTTGGAGAAAGCACTCATTTTATTCCTTGCCTGTTACAGCCAGAAGATGAATAGCTTAGCTTAGCACAAAGACTGGAAGCAGAAACAACAAGCCTGGCTCCGTCCAAAGTAAAAAAAACAAAAAAAAACAGCACCTCTTAGGCTTAGTGAAGTGTTGGTCAGTGATTTTGTGAATAATGCTAGCATGTAACTCCCATTTGACAAATAAGGTATAAATCATCAGGCTTAAGAGGTGTTTGTTGTTGTTGTTGTTGATGTTGTTGTACAGGTGTTAGTCCAAAATGACTGAATGCATCACTTGTTGTTGGAAACCTCTGCCACATATTCTACAGTATCATATAGACAGCCTAACATGTCATTATTGATCAGAAAGACTGAGAATCCCTGTTGCTGTGTCGAACAGCGTAAGCGCCCATGTTACTTACAATCTGTTGATTACTACATGAACTGGGGTGCTTGTACATCTGATGAGATGTCATGTCTCTTCACAAATCATTTGATTTAATCAACCACTGGCTGTATTGCTCTGCATGAAACTGCCCATCCCTCTCTCTGTTTGTTGCCCGGGCTGTTCAATGCACCACTGTTTTCATGTTGCCTCTCTCTGCAGTGTGCTCCTTCAAAATCAGCAACTTTTACAACACTGATCTCAGATCTGCCATCCAATTAAACAGAGCCGCTGACAGCCACAGGACGTAGGCTGATCCAAGGTCAGTTATGTCAGTCCGTTGCGGGCTTGAATTCTAATTAAGGATTACTCTCGGAGATAAGTGTAGTGTGACGTAGAATCAGCACTTTAATAAAGACCTTAAGGAAGCTGTGGAGAGTTCTTTCTAGGAATAAAAATGAAACCATTTGGAGAACATTGTGAGGGTTTGAGTTGTTTTTTTAAAGTGTGTTTGTAATATTAATATCTACAGTATCTCAGAAATATGGCTCAGTAGGTGAATAGTGGATTCAGAGAAGAGGCCTGAGTCCTTGTTGACCCACATACATTCCGTCAAGTAGGAAATGTATTAAAGGGCCATTTCTAAGCAACTGAGAACAGACCAAACAAAACAAAAAAGCGCAACTTAATAAATGGAAGCAGCCCTGAATGTTTACTGTGCTCAGTCTATAATATTCTAATAAAAATGACTGGCAGCTATAGTCCAACACAGGTCAACAGAAACAAACACAGTGAGCAGAGCCAGGAAGACTCAGCAGTAACATTATCAATCAGTTACTGCAGCCCTCTGTTTATGGTATTTGCAAGGGAAATGAGGAAAACCGCATGGATGGATGTATGAATGCAAGTACAGACACGAAGACACAATTTCAAATATTCACATGCTCTTAAAATGTTTCAGTACATACTCGATTGAGTTCAGTACAACATAACTAAATAACAGGAACATGATCTCATGGCTTCAGTGTGTTAGTGGGTGTGCTATCTCTGCACAATCTCTAACTATCCACTCTCCGTTCTTCAGTTCTTTCGAAAGCAACCCTGACGAGAAAGAGTAAGAGACAGCCATAAATAATGTGGCTAGAGAAATTTCTATTGTAAGAAACTGTCTGTCAGCAACAACGCTAACACATAAGACAGGGAAAGATGGAGAAGGAGAGAGAAAAGAAAAAGAGCGATAGATTGATGTTGCAAGTGATGGCTATGGCAAACAAAGATATGGGGAGGGGTGAGGAAAGCGAACAGAAGGAGGAAGAGAGTGAGAAAAGGGGAGCTGAAGGAGACAACAACATGCAGGAATCCCTCAGGAACTGTGAAGACTGGGGAATAGAGAGAGCCAGCGTCACAGCAACACAGGAGAGAAAAGAGAGCAGTCAGCTTTGTTTATGTGTGTGCTGGATTATGGGTGTAAATAATATGAATATGGCCACTTTTAGTGCTGTGTGTGTGTGTGTGTGTGTGTGTGTGTGTGTGTGTGTGTGTGTGTGTGTGTGTGTGTGTGTGTGTGCATGTTTAACACAAGCAGTGTCTCAAAGGACTGACAACGTGTGCTTAGACAGCACAAATGTGACGAGCTGTCAATGTCACAGGAAGAAAAGTCTAAAATAAGGCGTCCATCACTGAAACAACATGAGAGAAAGAGACTGCAAGCAAAACCCACAACTGAATATTAATATGGAGTCTTGGAAAACATTTTCCGCTCAAATGGAAATTGTATTTTGTAAAGAAAAGCCCTTCACATATTGTTGTAAGCACATGAAAGGGAGAAAAGAGAGAAAGACTGGAACAAAGCTGATGGTAAAAAAAAAAAGATGAGAGGAAGAGGAAAAGGGCAACTTGGCTCTACTTTAATTTTTTGTCTTTTTATGGCACTTGCAACTTCTCACAGCTGTCCTTTCATCCATTGCTCCCCCTTTAAGTGGCTGTATGTTAATGTTGGTGATTATCAGTTTAAGCTTATTTTACAGCTGTGCTCGATTTCAATGACTCTAGATACAAGAGCTGAGGGGGAATGGCTTGAATGCAGCATAAAGACACAAGGGGAGCTGGAGAGGAGTGGAAGAGAGACGCTAACAAGGGGGTGAGGATAAGCAGAAACATGTGGTAAGGTGGCCGGAGACAGAAAGGGAGGGAGGGAAAGTCAAGAAAGGATAGCGGTGGGCTGATTATAGAAGAAAGGGAGGGTGTAGAAGGAGACAGGTCGGAGAGAGTACAGGATGCTGCCAGAAAACAGTATGTACAATGTATAACACAGGATGACAGGGAAACAACAGGACAACCCACTGAAGTGTAGTGTGTGTAGCTGCTACCCTCTCTCCTCAGCTACAACTGATGTAGCTCTAGTCTTGGTAAAAAAAAAAAAAAAAAGAGGAAAGAATAGGAGAACATATTTCACCTGTCTCCCTGGCTTTTATTTTTTCCTAAAGCACTTATCTGTGATGCATTAAACTATAGGTTGCCGAGGCCTTATTCCTATTTTTTGACCTTATATAAAGTCAGGAGGTCTTGACTAAAAGCATAATTCATATTCTTACTTACACCTTCAGTGACAGTTCTGGAGTTTGGAAGGGGCCAGGCAACCCTAATTTGGATCATGGTCTCAATCTGGCAGCCTCGCCATCATCAGCTCTCCTTTATTATCGCTGGTAAACCAACACTGCAGTACAACACCTACCCCCTTGTCAGATTTTCAAATCAGCACAATTCTGTATGTGAGAAATTTGTTGTGATGACACCTTCAAGCACTATCAGAAAAACAGCCCGTCTCAAGTGATTTGCTGTAGCTCATTTAGTCCAATTTCCATCAAAAGTAGGCGGGACAGACATAAATTGAATATGGTGACAGACGGAGGTGAGAGTTAGCAGCACAGACAGAGATGTAATTTACACTGTGATTCTAGATAACATTCAAGACAGTACAGACCTTACTGATGGGATAAAGGAGGGGGGATGCGAGTGAGCAGTGGTGACACAGAGCGACATGCAAAGTTATTTGTCGAGTGTTTTTAATGTGCTGGAAGGTAACACACACACACACACACACACACACACACACACACACACACACACACACACACACACACACTCACACACACGGGAGTACCGCTCAGGGCTAATGTCCTCCCACCAATACACACTGACCTGCAGACACACTGACATACTTACCTATTCACATGTGAACAATGTTCGGTATAAAAAAACACAAACACACACACACACACACACACACACACACACACACACACACACACACACGCACGCACGCATATACATAAACTCCAAACTAATCATGAACCCTGACTTGCCCTCCCCCATTAACAAAATAGGAAGTCTCTGGAGGAAATAGTTGTTTACAGCTAATAGACCATGTACTCTTTCTCTCTGTCTCTCTCATTCTTTCTCTTTCGTACACACACACACACATACACACACACACAGAGGGTAGACTCATTGGCCTTGTTTGACTTGGGTGGTTTGGTAGTGACAGTAGGGACATTATGCCATGCCTGCTCGTCTCTAAGCGCCCACTCTGCACTCGACAATGAAATCATTATGGAGGGCATGCTGTGGTCATGCATACAGTCTGTGATGAAGGGTGG